TTCCATTGTACGTATTATTATATTATTGTGTTATTATTATTATTATTATTACGATATTATCGACGGTTATTAATTATTATTTCTTTATTATTATCTATATATATATAACGCTGCCTATTAATTATGATTGCTATATTATTAAGTGTAACAGATGCAAAACGAAACGGACCTTTTTACATGAATCGTGTTACAAGATTATTATAGACTGTTTCGATCGTGCTGAAGAGAACAAGTTTTTGTATCCACTGATGTACTCTGAGATTTACGTGCTATTGTCGCAATAGGTTTTAGCAGACACTCGTCGTGGCACAACGACATGCAGTATTCTTCAAAGGATCTGACTTTTTTCTTTTTAGTTGACATAAGACTGGCAATTTTTTTTTTAAACTCGCATTTACTTTTTTGTGTCTCTTTTCTTTTTCTTAAAGGAAAACTTTCAACGACCTTCGCGTTTTTGTAATAACCGGTGTAACGATTTATCATATTCGGTATGCACTGCCAAGTTTTTCCGAGTTGCGCACTTTTTACGAACTGTCGATCCGTTCATAAAGCCAATGTAGAGAACTCGTCGTTCAGTCGTGGCGCAAACGAAGGATTGATCGGTGATTCGTCCGGTGTAGGTCTCAGGGAGGCTGGGGACGTGCTCACACTCTTGTACTTAACATACGCCGCGCGTCGTAATTTCAATTATATTCCAGGTCCCCAGGCTCCCCGCGTTCGCGACCATTCGGCACAACCTGTGTATCTCTTTCTCTCTATTACATGTGTATCGTATTTATTTATATTACGAGGAACAAACTGAGGAGCTCGCGACTGCGGATGTACGTCAATCTGTGCTAAACTGTGAACTGTCCTCTTTTGTGTTTTTTACTTCGTCATCGTGTACACGTATATCTTTGTAATCGGATCGTACGAATACACCGTATCCGCGTGCCTGTTTCTGATTTTACGCGGCTATACGTATCTTACGTATATAATGTATGTATGTGTGTATGTGCCATCTGTTTCGACGCGGTGAGAGATTTCGCTCGCCCCGGCTCCGGTTCTGCCCCTGAAAATAGGTACGCGCGGTACAGTTCTATTATCGGGCTCCTCTCCCGAGAAAGCGGTCGTCGCGATCGATTTCGCACGACGTTCGCTAATTATTTACTTAGATCCCGTTTGGAAATCCACGACCTCGCGCGTGGAATTTTGGTGTACCGTTTGATGCAGTCTTCCCCGGATGGGATTAACGATAGATTTCGTTGGAGATTTCCTCCCACCTCCCCCCCTCCTCTCGCGTTGATTATCGTGCAAACGTAATTTCGTATAGATTTTCTACGTAATCTTGACGTTTTCGCAGATGTCATCGTCCCCCCCTCCCCCTCCCCCCCCCTTCCGGGTCTGCAAATTTGCAGCATCCCGACAAGTCGTGCAGTATGTAATATTTACGTGTACATCCCGCACACTCGCGAATACGCACGCGATTTATATTTCCATTCGGTACACGCAGATTGAATGCGGACATTCACAATAGAGCTCTTTCACCGAATAACGAATTTCGGACCGGTATCGAAATCCGCGCGAGCAGGATAAAACGAAAGTACATTTGTATGAACGATTGAAAAAAAAAAAAATGTACCACGGGCGAGACGGTGCGACGGGTTTGCACCTCGCTCGTCCTGCGTTTGAAAGTATCGTATACTTTTCGGTTTCCACTTTATACTAACGATGTATAAGCCGTCATACTTATTTAATAAAAAAGACACAAACTTATATATTTAAGAATTATATATATATTATATATATATATACATATATGTATATGTGAATAAGAGATATGAGAGTGTGAACAGGAGAGAGAGAGAGAGAGAGAGAGAGAGCTATAAGGATATCGCAGCTGCGACCAGCTGTGATTGCGAAATGTGTGTCGCGGATGACCCGATTGACACAAGCCACTGCCGTATAACGTTGTTTTTCGGTACTCACGGAGGAGATACAACGACAGAATTGCCGTCGCTATACATAACGTGACAAACGTCCTTCGTAAAAATTGTTATTAATGTATACGCAAGCCTTCTGATTTTTCGTTTTTTTTTTTTTTATCGTCACTGCCATGTTTCGCATTTAAGAGATTTTCCCCGTTTTTTCTTATCTCGGGGGACGGGGGGGTGGGGGAGGAGGGAAAGAAACCGCGAGGGAGAAACGACCGTCGTGCAATGGGTAGTTGCGCGCGGGTGCGGCGTCGATCTCGTCTCTCCCGTATTCTAACGAGCACGCTCGCCGTTAAACGCGCTCGTATAACGTTACCGCTGCGCGTTTAGCGTTAAATGTGCGGCGTTAATATATATACGTTCCTCTTTGCGTCTTTTCGAATATATTGCGTCGTACAGATTGACGTACATGGAGACACGCTCGTGCGCATGTATATTCGTATATATAATACACACACACACTTACACAGACAGACATACGTCGCTATTATCGGGTGCCAATCGGCCCTCCCGACACGGGACATTTTTTTATTTCCAAATTCAGTTGGAGTATAATACACTCTCGTGCGGCATGTAAGATAATATGTGTTCGGGCAACGTTCGAGCGCGCGCGATCCGATAGAATCCATATAGCGTCACCCTATACTTTGCGAACGTACAGGTGCTCGCAGCTCTGCCGCGCTGTCGGAAAAAGGAAAGAGAAAAAAGAAGGGGCGCACCGTGTCTGTTTATCCAAGTTTCTCGCGCTAAGATTTTGCTTCTTAATTTTCAACCTTGTGTATTACGGTAAAAATAAAGAAAGCGCGGATGGTAAGCAACGGGCAAATATATATGTGTGTATGTATGTATGTGTGTGTGTGTGTGTGTGTGCATATGTGTACCGCTGTCGGGGAAAAGCGAACGGTAAAATATTGACGCCACCTCTATACGCGGTGTGAATATTTTATTAAAACGGCGGCTATACAGCCGAAGGTGGTGGATCCGTGTACGCGTCTTAAAATAAATACCAGGAAAGCACGCGGCAGAGCTTCCCGGCGGGCCGTACGGTCGGAAGTCGACTCCATCCATCTGAAAAGCTTGTCAATTCTGCATTCAACGTTTGTAATTAATAACGTAAAACGGACTGAGAGGAGAGGCGATTTCGAAGGCGTCCGGTGGGGCGAAATTAGTGTGTCATGCTTCGTAGTATATATATAGATAAATCTGAACACGTCGTGTGTCGAGTTAAGATTACTCTTTGTTAAGCTTCGACGGAGAGGGAGAAAGAAAGAGAGAGAGAGAGAAAGAGAGGAGAGGATAGAAGGGATGATTCCGATAATTTTCCCTGTTAAGGACATTTCTCTTGAATATTCTCCAGCGGGAAATCTCCGGTTCAATTAGATTCTATTTTAATCATCGCTAGTAATACATGTTTGAGTTGAGCAATAATTGATCGATATTGAGCGACAATTGACCAATATTGAGCAGCTATTGTCTTCGTTCCGTTCAGAATTAATGTCCTGAAGACAAACGTCTTTAGTGGCGAATCGCGTTCGAGATTGCAAAAAATAGGACGTTGACCGTCTTGTCACATTGACCAACCTTGATTGTTACAAAAAAAGATCTGGAGAAGTGTCTGTCCTCTGTTCATCGAGCCAGGCGCAGCAACGCTTCTTTACGCTTGTTGCGCGCGTATGCGTGTATACTGTGTGCGTACGTATCCATGTGTGCGTGTGTATGTGCAATTTCAACCCCTCGCGAATAAGCTCTCTTTCTCTTCTTCCCTCCACTTGTATATAGTACTTCAGCCCACCCATCCACCCCCTCTCCTCCCCTCATCTCGCGCACGAGTAGACTTTTAAGTGACACTCGAGAGAACGAAATGATTCTTGCCAAATTCTCGATGGGACGTAGGGACAAATGGAGTAATTGCATTTAAAACCGAAAATCAAGCAAGAAATATATTGGTATTATAAATGACTGATATCTCGTTATCTCTTCGTTATTTTTTTTTTTTTGCCCACCCGCAGTCTCTCAGCTGTACAGACTTGCTGATCAGCCTTACATACGATCGGGGACACGATGGACCGGTGTCCTGTAATTTGAGTCGTTACAATTTGTCACCATTCATTCCGAATTTGCCCGCGGAGGGACGTGTGTGGAGAAGGTGATCGATCTTCCGATCCGACTTCCGAGGTTCAAAATTTTCTTCTGGAGAAATCTACGTAAAGATTTATTGTAACTGAACGTGAGCACACACGTGAAACGGCGCCCGTATAAAGTTATATCACAGTAAAATTATCGTTGATGCGTTAAGATCTAAATATCGTTACTATAAATATATACAGATACGCGAGACGCGCGTGAACACCTTTCGGAAATACCCTATCCAGTCCAAAAGTCGTCGAATCGTCGTTACGCAAATCGTTATGTTAATATCGGAGTTCTTGTATGTCGCAACTAAATCACCTCCGCGTTCGCGGGTACACCGAGTTTCCATGTATATCTTGTATACAGTAGAACGTATCTGGCGCGTGTGTTATAGTTTTCCACTGTGCATTTTTGACACTAACATCAATCCCGGTGTCGATGTTGTATCGTTACGCCAGTAATAAATTATAGCGTACTTGATACGAGTTGATTTCGGTGACGAAAAAATTGTGTATATGCTCTATACATATATATATATATAATAGTACAATTAATACGCAATCTTGAGATATGTGAAGTTTATATAATTTTATCGCTTTCCTTTTATAAATATCTCAATAAAAAGATATTAAAAAAAAAATGATCTATTGTATATTTACATTAAAAAACTATCAACGCAGACTTGTATTACGAACGATGTTACGTGTGTAATAATTATTAGCGATAGTAATAATTATGTCATTATTTTCTACATACTTAATATTTTTGTAATAATAATGCGAAAGCTTAAAGATAACAAATTTACATGGCACGTTTGTACAATTATTAATAAATTGTATAATATGGAATTGTATTTATATAGGCAGTAAGAAATTCAGACACTACACAAAGGCCCAATTGTATTAATATCGATTGAATGTAATTCGAGATTAAACTTCAATATAAATACACATTAGTGTGGTACTGTGTCTATTCAGGATTTCTGTCTTTATCATAAGGGGTCGCGATTCTTGCTCTCTCTGGTTTGATGAAATATATATTCGTAAAAAGTAACAATAAAACTTCTTTCTTAGTTTTATAAGCGTTTCCACATACATACACATCATGTACACTTTGTTCGGTATCAGAGAGTGGAATATTTTCCTAATCAAAATTCCTAAATTCTTATATGACATATATACTGAGGATGGTAAATTCACAGAAACCGAACCCAGAGATGTCTTGCTCAGGCGACTGTTCTAACGAATCGAGCTATCTAGCACCTCCTAAAAAGTAAAAATACAAATTGTCGTTTTTCCTCTCAGAGATTTACAAAATTAATTACAAAATTACATTATCATAATAAAAGAATTGTTTCGTACTATTTTTATCCATATATGATTTTAGTGGTTTCTTTGCATTTTTTCTTTCTAAAAATTAAAAAAAAAACAGTTTATTCTACTCCCGCCTTTATCTTATATAATAATAATTTATCCTGAGAAGATTTAGCTGAGGATAAGGGAAACTGGGTGAAGAACTTTGAACTTGTGGCAGTACCTGTATTACGTTTGTCCTGCTTAACTTTCTTCATCATATCTTTCAGTCTTCTATCCGCGCTGATGATATGAATATTTGGCGTCATCTTAGATCCACTACCTACACAGATTGAACAGTTTAATGATTAATTTTATACATGTTTTATTTTAATTAAACGAGCACATATAAAACAGCGCCCGTGTAAAATTATCGTTTGTGCGTTGAGATCTAAATATCGTCATGATAAATATACAAATACGCAAAAACGTTATAAATATACAGATAGGCAAACACGTATAAAATTGATACAATTTTATGATCTAAATATCGTTATTATACAGATACGTAAAACGCGCGTAAACATGATTAATTTTATACGCATTATAAAATTGATAAAATTTTATAATGCGTATAAAATTAATCATGTTTACGCGCGTTTTGCGTATCTGTATATTTATAGTAACGATATTTAGATCATAAAATTGTATCAATTTTATACGTGTAATCAAAACGTGTTGAACTTACTTGAGCTAGGTTTTTTCTGCTCTTTAGATTTGCTTTCTATCACAGTCTTTGGTGAACTCCTTTCTTTCGAGACCTAAATGACAATAATTACTGTAAGAATTCGATTTTCTCACTGCGGACATATTGAATTATTTGCATTAGAAGCAAAAAAAACCATGATTCTTTTTTTTATACGTAACATACTGAAATAAATCATTTCTTTTGAGTGCCATAATATGTTTGATTAATAAAGAATTCTTATTTCTTTACTGCAATTATATTAAATTATCACAACATATGTGAGAAATCATTTCCTTAGATCTAAGTAAATCTTTTCCTTAGAGTATATAAAATAATTCATTTTTTACATATTGCCATATATATTTATGTGATAAATTAATAAAATATACGAAGATTCTCTTTAATTTGTAAATTAATAAATAATAGTTTTGATTAACTATTGTAAGATCTATTTTTTTAAATATAGATTAAATTATACATTTAATAATAATAGATATTAAGTTATCTTTGATCTAGAATCTTTAGTACATTTTATTAAATACATTTTATCTGCTTGTTATCGTCCATCATAAAATCTATCACAGAAATGTATATAACAATATATATAAAATGAATTATTTTGTATGTTTTGTATGAATTGTAAGGAAAAGATTCACATATGATTTCTCACATATGCTGTGATAATTTAATACAATTGCAGTAAAGAAACAGAAATCTTAAAATAAAATATTAGCATTAACATCAAGCGAAGAAAAGATAAATAGTATTATCGTCTTTGAACTTTAACATGAATTCATTGTTAGTGAATAATTAAAAATAAAGATAGACTTTTCATAAGTAAACAAAATAATTTTACGATACACAAAATATGCTTAAGAAATTGTTGCGCAAATTATATAAACGTAGGTGAATGATATGCACCTGAGACTTGGAACAGTTAGAGCAGTACCACACTTGCTTCGGCACGCTATCTATCTGCGAGTCCAAGATATGTGGAACGTGGCATTCCTGGTGATACAAAGAATGACACTCGTGACATTCCACAAGCCTGTTTCTCGCCCCGACGTCCATCCCCTTGCAAATGACGCACGTGAGATCATCCTCTAGGATTTCCAGCGCCAGCGTATCGTCCGACTGCAGGATGTCCGGCGGAGTGTCACGCGCTGGCAAATTAACTGGAGAACTGTTCTTGCTCGATTTACTCGAGTGCTTGGACGAGCTCTTGCTCTTCTTACTGCTACTGCTACTGTGATCGCTCAACACCTGTTCCTCCATCATGTACTGAAAGACACAAGTAGACAAACTTAGGTCCGATTCTTGCTTTTTATGTATTCAACGGAATAAACGGGATCGTCTCTACCTTTTTATGCAGCACATTGGAGAGCATCTTGGATGGCCCGTACTTCTGCTTAATCGCCTCGTCCAGCAGGGCTCGCAGCTGCTCCGCGGAGTCCTTGTTGGTGGAGTACAGGAGTCGCAGCCCCTGCGTGAATTGAGGATCCAACTCCAGCTGAGTCATCCCGTCGGAAGCTCGATTCTCCCTCGGCGTAATATCAGTCTATCGCTGCTGCAGAGCCTGCAGAGAAAAATTTCAAGTAGTCTCGACGGATAGATGGACAAAATTCGGCGACGGTCAGGTTATGCCCAGGACAACAATAAAAACCATGTGTGTCTCTTTAAATGTAAATATCTTATTACACATTAATTTAACGAGCGTTAGTTGCGTAAAAAAAAAACTCGCCTTTTTTTACTCTCGCGTAAAAAATACCGTTCGACAAAGGGTAAAGTCTATGCTCTCTTGTTTTCACTTTGCGTGTCTCACAATGTTTACCTTGCCGAACGGACGGAGCTGTGCGACACGCCTGTCGTTTTAGTTTACTCGCGTGAATTTCGAGACGATGCAGAGGATCTCTATAATTATACCGGACGTTTATATCGACATTATGTTGTCTAATTTGTTCCAATCATGCTAATCGTCGATGTGCCGCACCGTTCCGTGAAATGAAATGTTGTCCTATTCTAGGTTATCGCGTGAATCTCTCGAACGTCGAGCTTCTCGCGAAGAGAGAGAAGCTAAGAATGATCTAAACTTATGGCAAAAATACTTCTTCTAAGTAGCTGCATAAATCGACAATCTAATCAAGCAAAAAGAGTACTTGTTTATGTTTATGATTATCAAGGAACAATGCGTTTTCTTCGTCACACAGTAAAACCGTTAATTCTCGAACTTACGTGTTTAAAAACTTGAAAAAAACGCGTAGGACATCGTTTGTTTGCTGTTGAATTTTTCTAAACTTATTGTTTATGTACCTTTTGAAATGTAGAAATAGAATTGATTTGAGAAAAAAAAAAGATTTAATCGCGTTGAGGTCGAAAGTTACAAACTCATCGGCACCTACATAGAAGGATTGAAATGAGATGAATATGTATGAGAAGAACGCAGAGAAACGCCCGACAAGTGCGGGCTCGATTTGGATTGATACGGATCGATAAAAAAAAGTTAATGTCATCAGCGATAGTTTTCGACGCTTCCCTTCCGGCCGAGAGTTTGAAAAGGCCGCTGGAACTGAGGGCACCTACGGTGTGCGTCGCGGTCGCCAGGAACTCGGGGAATGCAGGGCGCATATCGCCACGCGAGAGCCCGCCTCGCTCCTGTCCCCCTTTGTACGCATTCCAGACTCGATCTCTCGCGGAGCTTCAGATTCGCAGCGGATATGAATTCGAGTGCGAAATAAAATCTGGGGGGCAAAAACCGTCTTCTCTCTCTCCCTTACTCTCTCCTTCTCATCGTTATCGCGCACGTCGCGCAGCAGCGTCGTCGAGCGTCGACGAACGCGACGGAGGAACGGAGGCAGGTCGGTCGGGCAGCGCCGCCACCGCCACCACCACCGCCACCGCCATCGCCGCCGTCGCCGTCGCCCGCCGCCGCCGCCGCCGCCGCGATCGAAAGAGGCGACGAGAAGGCGAAAATATAACCAAAGAAAGACCAAAATAGTAACTCTCGCGGGCGATGGTGCGGCGAGAGAGCGTGGATCTCTCGCGAGGGCCCATTGCGCAGGCGCGCGACAAGGACACGATACGCTTGTCCCGCTTCCGCCGCACACGCAGCGCATCGTCCCGTCTCCGTCGCGCGCACGGGCGGCGCGCTTCAGGCGACTCCGTCGAAATTTTCGACGGGCAGTTGGCAGCCGTGCGTAAAAGAAATAAATAATCAAAGCGACCATGAAGTGACAAATAAAGTCGGGAATCGAGAGAACAATGCTCGCGCGTACGACGGCAAGGAGGACGACCCGAGTCGCGCAGGTAGCGTGCGTTCGCACCGCCGTTTGATACCCGGACCCGCCGCCGCGTCCGAGTGAGTGGCCCCCGCGGCGTGAACGCGCCGCGCACCGCCGCTGCTCCGCCACCGCCGCAGCCGCAGCCGCAGCAGCCGCGCGCGACACACACAGCCAGCAGCCAGTAGCAGTAGCAGCAGCAGCAACAGCAGCAGCCGAAAAGGTGCGTTATGCGCTCGCCGTGGCGACGAGGCTGACACTCGGGGAACGGACTCTCTCCCGCGCGGACAAGTGCTACGGTGACTATCGACGCGTTCCGGCGCAGCTTCCAGGCCGGTTCGCCCCAAACGGGTAATCGGTCGTCCCCGCGACCGCGACAGGTCGGGATCGGGTCTCGAGGTCTTGATCCCGAGGTGGCGAGGCTCCCTCGCAGCATCCCCGGTCACGGTGCGCGGATAGATTCTCAACGTTGGACAGACCCTCGGACCCCCGTCGTCCGTGTCGATCCGCCGTGTTGTCCAGTGTTATCCTACGGGAAGTGGCCACATGGCGATACTTCGTGCCGCGAACGGTTTCGTGGGTGCCGTCTGGTGAGCGCGCGTGATCCACGGTCGACAGGACGACGACGTGCGTCGTCCCGCCGTTAACCTGTTCTCCTTTCTCTCTCTTTCTCTCTCTCTCTCTCTCTCTCTCTCTCTCTGTCTCCTCCCTCGCCTACCCTTTCTCTCTTCCTTGACGCGAGCGACACGGGGCAACGGAGACGCGGGGACCTAGTGCTGGTGGCCATGCGTCTTTTCCCGCTGTTCAACCGCAACAGCAACGTTTGACACGTCCCGGTCGTTTGCGAACGCGTTACCCCTCAGCCATGAAAACCGAAAAGAAGCCCAACGAGCCCAGCTGTTGTCCTCCTACTACGGTTGTCAAGGATGAGCCTGACGCCGACCCTGTCAAGATCAAGGAAGAAGGCACGGGTGGGAATAACGACGATGCGACTGGGGAGGACACCTCCGAGTGTCCCAGAGATTCCTGCCTGGATCCGTCTAACGGCGACGGTACGATGTCCGGGGAGAATCAGAACGCTAACGGGAATCAGCCCATCTTGAATTCGGTGAAGCAAGAGGGAGACCCCAACAATCCCACTGACGATCTACCTGGTAAGATCAACTTAACTCGTGCCTGCAGATCTTTACTCGGTTGTTTTTTCCTATGTGTTAAGTGTATATTTACTTTTCTTTTCTTATATAAGGTTAATCAAATTGTCCTTTTTGCTGTAGATTATAGTGGAAATGTTATTACAGCGGACAGCATTCAACCACTCGTTAGTAATGTTGTGGGAAAACAGATGGGAACTAGTACGAGCAGCGGGGAGGCTCAATACATGCAACAGCAGAGTCAAATTTTTGTATTTTCTACGGCGTTGGCGAATAAGGCCGCAGAGGCGGTGTTGAGAAGCGAATATTCCTCGATCATCGCTTATCATTGTGCACAACCAGGCACTAAAAAATATTTGGAGGTATTGATACTTTAATAGTACTATTTAAATAGTACTGTAGATTCTCAATCACATACATGAGCAGTTTATTAATTGAAGATTTTTAACTGTAGAAAAATTTTGCATAATTCCTTGTCAAAATAATACAAATATTCAATATTATTTCATGTTTTATTTTTTATCTATTTATAATTTACCTGTGTTTGTTTTGTATCATTTTCGGTGTAAATGTCTCACATAAAACATTACTTTTAGTAACTTGTCTTTTCGTACACACCACACGTATTACTTATTATTTATTTGATTGCCATTAATATATATTTACCGTTTTTATTCTTTTAGAAACATCCAAATAAAGTAAATCAATTTCGACAAAATCCTGCTCAATGGTTAAATAATCTTGCTATGATGAAACAGAAAGGCCATCAGGGAAATGCGAATAATACTTTCCCGACTGAACAACCCCCGGATTTACCAGCACTAGATCCAAGTGCTCCACAATTTTGGAACGAACAACCTAACTTGCGAAACATAAACGGCGGAAACTCCCTCGGTAATTCTGAGCCATCATTGGATGATGGAAACATAGACGTGCCTTGCCTTGTGCCGAATTCACCTGGTAATTCAGGTAATTTTCATTAGATCTTTCATCCAAATCGATTATTAACTTTTTTTCTTTTGGTGCGAGATTTAACGTATCCATGTGTTTTTTTTTTTTAACGCAGCCAACCCTCAACCCGCTAATAACGCTACCATGGGCCACAGTCCAAATTTGATAGGTGGCACAACGAGCCCAGGTCCCGGAGGTTTACAACCATCTCTCCAAGGTGTCAAAGTTCCAGACGAAAACTTGACGCCGAAACAAAGGCAGCACAGAGAGGTCCAACTGGCGACCTTACGGAAAATGCAAATGATATTATTTCCCGGCCACAAGGAGGAACCTGGCAATGCTTTAACAGATACGACGCAAGGCACGACGTCATGTCCTCCTACGAATGTTCCTCCCGTTGGTGTTCCAAATCAATGTTCTCCGTCTATGGACTGGCACAAATTGCAGCATCAATTTCTCGATGGAAAAAATAAGGTATGCCTCTTTCGTGCGATAAACTCAATTGAAAGGACGAAATATTTATCGCAAGAAAAATATGGAGATACATACACGCATCGTGTATTACAGGCAACTGTCGGTAATCCGGGTGCGGTACCATTGCGCGGTGCTAATATGGTCGGAGTGCCGCGAAGTCAAGGCCCGCCGCCACCGTATCATCAAACGACTCGATCCGCCAGCGTGCCGATCGCGATTCAGAGTCCAAATCCGTCGTCGCCCAACAATCCGACCAGCAATCTATCGCTCCCATCGCCGCGCGCAAGTTCTGCTCTGAATTCACCGGCGGACTGCAACAGGCAGTTCCAGCTCGGTAATCAGAGGACCAGCCATCTGCCGGGGCAAAGCCCGACAAGCCAGGACTCACCGAACCCGACGGTTGCCACGGCGGCCACGGCAGCCGTTTCAACGACGCGATTGAACCACAGCAATCCAGGAACACCAGTCTCTCATTCCCATATTGCTGCTCTCAGTCCTAGTGGTACTACTGCTCAAAAGGATGCTTCCCTCGATTTTCCTACCAATCAACAACCAAACGGTAAGTTTGCTCGAAGATTTTTCTTTTAAAAGATTTTTCATTGAATTTGATCAAGGTGTAATTCATAAATATTTTGTACAATTTATAAATTAAACTTGTGTCTTTTTTTCGCTTTAGTGGACGGTATGTTTTGCCGAACGCTACAATCCTTAGCTCAACAAAAGCAACATGCTGGAAACGTTAATCCATCGGCCGTGAAAGAGGCAAATTTAATGCCAGTACCGAGTCCTCATCAACTCCAATATCTTAGCACATTCGAAGGGCAGGAACTGACCATTCAAAAACAACCTAATACGAGTCTAAAGGATGGCAATTCATCTACGTGAGTATTCTTATTTTCTCTCGTTTTACTTTTGAGAAATACAACTCGGACGAAAAAATATCGATTGATTGTCATATAAAGCTTGCCTAATCACGATGTTTTTCTTTCCATTGATAACAGAAATACCGGCAATTCCTCGGAGATGCCCAACAGAATCTTGCCAGGAAGTCTAGATAGCAACAGTCAATTCCCTACTAGATCAGAGGGCGCGAGTCCTGTACAGATGGACAGCATGAACCGAGGCTTCGCCGGTTCCCTGCACAGTCCTCACACGCCGCACACACCGCACACGCCGGGTAGCGCCGCGCCGCACACTCCAGCGGATCCCGCGAAACCGGGCAACAAGTCCAGCGCAAGTGCGCAAAGTAGTCCAACGCCGCACAACACCAGCATACCCGACAGCATGGGGCCACCGCGAACGGTACCGGCATCGCCTACCATGAAACCCGACACATCACCACCGTCCGCAAAAGATGTTCAGCAGCAGCAACAGCAAACGCAGTCGCAGCAGCAACCGCAGCAACAGCAGCAGCAGCAGCCTCCGCAACAGCAGCCTACGGTGGTGAATCCGAACAATTCAGGCGGCACGACGGTGGTGCCGTCAATGAGCGGTGGTCCCCCCGGTGCCGCTTCCTTCCCCTGTGGCAGACCGTCCATAAACGTGAGTCAACCATCTGACAACGTGCCTCTTAACCCCAACAACATTGGCGGTCGACTAGGCGGCTTGAACACCATGGGTACGAATTTCGATCCGATAACGTCCCTGGCGCAGATGAGCCAGCAGCTCACGAACACGGCGGCGAGCAATTCGCTGGGCAACGAGCCCATGCATTCCGGCAATGCCGTTGGCATGATGCCGTTTGGCAATCCGCACGCCGGCATGCATATGATGCAGATGGGCGGCGAAATGAATGGGAGCTGTCATATGGGTGCAGCTAGCGGTGAACCCGGCAATGAGGTCGGCGGAATGTGCATGGGTCTCGCGGGTCCACCGACGAGCTACAGCCCCACCACTTCGCACACAGGAAGCCCCGGCGGTGTTCCCAGCAAGATGGGACACCCCGCCATAATGGGCGGTCACGGAATGATGGGCGGCCACTCGGGCGTCGGTCCTGGCGGCGCTGCTTACCCTGGCGGTGATCCCGGACACGCGCCTCCGCCAAGATTGATAACGGGCCACGGAGTTGCTGGGCCCAGTCCCTACAACGGCGCAAACGTTCAAGTAAAACCGAACGCGCCCAACACTATACAGTACTTGCCGGCCAGGCCAAACGTCGGCCACGCGCCCCGGGGTCCACCCAGTCTGGATTTTCTTCCGCGATTCACCAATCCGCTGTCCAATCTGGAGTCGAAGATGGGTGGGACGCCCTCCGTAAACCTTCAGTACTTCCCGAACGGTTGTATGCCGAACAACATGGGGGGTCCGCATAGCGGTATGCCGTCCAATATGAATGCCGCCGGAATCCCCGGTATGGGTGCCTCACCCGTCAGAATGGACGGTCAGTCCATGAACACTTCCGGCGCCATGCACCCGTCCATGAGACCGGTCGGCAACATGCGACCGCAACCGAACTTGATGCGGATGCAGCACATGGTAGGCGGCGGCGTCTTCCCCGGCGGCTCTATGGATTCCGACAAAGTCTTCCCGCCCGACATGGTGACGCAAAATATGTCGAACCAGCCGAATCCAGGCATGTACGGCGTATCCGGTAATAAGGCCAGTCCGATGGGATTGGGACCGCCGCCCGATGCTACCCAACCCCTACCGCCTAGCATGGGCGGCGCAACCAGCAATTTCAAAACCGGCCCATTCGTCGGCAGCGGACCAAGCATGTCCGACCCGAATTATGCTCAACAGTTTCACAACTTCCAGCAACAGCTTTATGCCACTGGCACCAGAGGTAGCGGGCCGCCGCATCCTAATCTGCATCCACCGCCGAACTCGCACTCGCATCAACAATTTTTCATGCCGAAGTGAACGTTGCCCGGTATTGATCCATATCGTAATGTTGACGATGACGAGAACGAGAATGACGACGGGAACAAGGACGATTTTTACGGTGGCCTTTCATCCCTCTTTTTCTCTCTTTCTCAATATCTCTTTTGCTCTCTTTCTATCTATCCATCTATCTTTATCTCTTTCGTCTATCAGGGATGTTTCTATTAATCACGCGAGATAGTTCTGGAAGTGTAAACTGTGTTTGCGATGTTGCAAAGGACAGACAAAGGAATAAGGATGAATATTGGTGAGCATCGCTGAGCGTCACCTTCGAATTCTGACGATTGACTTGCGATGAAAATTCTTGATTTGTATGATATTTTCGTATGGTTACGTGAGATTTTTTATTTTATTTTATTTTATTTTTTTTTTTAATTTTTGAACTACGCCGAATGTTATGTTTCTAAGTCTGTTATCTTGACGTGTGTTGGAAGTGTCGTTTTGAGTCTAAATCTTCCGGAACTATTTGTAAATCCTAAATGTTAACAGAGACGCATAAATATTCTCCCTCGCGTTCGTATAAATACTGATAATGTACAATCTGGTTTTCTCCCTTTTTTTTCCGTAGGAGTCGTTACTTCAGATCGAGGAGCACATTGTTAGATTAAGAAATACGTTATTACAGCTCGAGTGTAAAAAAAAAAAATAGGAGGAAGAAAACAAGCGAGATCTCTCCTCTTTTTTACGCTTTGTTCATAAATGGTCGGGGTAAAGTAATCGTATACAGAGAAGTGCATAGTGAGCGAGAGGATTTTGGTACATCGGTGCCGTAATTCATCCTTCCTTTATCACTAAAATACTTAAACACAGTCAAACAAGCTCAAATTTATTATTGTACATATATACCATATACATATTATACATATTATATATATTATATATATACCTGTTGCAACATAATCCTTCAATATCGCCCGTCCCCAAACGCTCCTTCATCGATCCCTATGACCAACTCTGTGCATAATCATGACTTCTCCCCCTCCCTCCCCCCACCCCCTTTCCCGTATCCCTACCCGTAGTTTACGATATAAGGAAAGAATTAATTGAACTAAGAACAATTATGTTGTTGATGAATGATTTTTATTATAAATGAAAAATAAAGATATTTACAAGAAGTCAGTACGATATTTGATCGATAATCGTTTTGCGATTCAAGAACGGCCGTCGGAGTTCACGATAAGTCCGCATCTGCAAAGACGCGGACGGCTAATTTTTAAAAAAGCGCTACGTTTTTCAAAGAGTGAGCAGGCTGTTTCTCAACTTACTCAAATCTGTGATAGTCAAAGCAAGAGAACGTATCCTTTCCTTTTGGTCTCTTCCAAAAGATGCAAAATACATATCTGCTCTGTTTCGGGGAATGATTCTTTAATACTACACTTCACGATTGTCCACTTAATGCGAGCATTATGCATAGATGAATGAAAGAGAGACGAGGGGGACGACAAAAAAAAAAGAGAAAAAAAAATACAAGTTAGGTTCCTTCAGGCAACTTGAGCAATGTGAAGCAGTGACACGGCTACATCGACATAGTTACGTTTGTGATAAAAAGTAATAGGAATCTTAGAACACTGCGACGACGGGGCTTGCGCAGAGCGTTGACACCATCTATTACATAGGAGTAAGATCTTTTTCTACAACGTCATATTTAGCTTGTAAAACGAGCTGTGTATAATTTCTTCTATAGATTCATGTTGGAATTATATCAATCTCGTATCTCGCTAGCGAAACATACTACTTGCGCCGAAGTAGTTTTTCATAAACTCTGCAATCGTTAGAACAACGATATTACCCGCGCAAATAGGAGACCTACAATTCGCTTCCTTAGGATCAACGAAGCTATGAGCTCAATTATAAATGTAAAGCTTATTGTTAGTCGACTTCCCTTTGTAATAAGTCTTCACACATTATCGGCCACTTTATATCCAAAGGTGCATTACTAAATTACTAAAAACTTGCGTTGTGTATACTTCTTAGTTGCCGAGCACTGGTTGCGTTCTTTCCGTTTTCCTGATTCATCTGTAAAAAGAAAAATATTCACACGTTGAATGAGAAGAATCGCTTGCGCTTCTTTCTTTTCGCTAAATCAACGCTAACTCTTTCTACTCGATGTCTTTACGCGATATCTACCGAGGATATAATCGCAATAAAAGCAAGCTATACTTTAAGTCTTAAGGATCTGGGACTATATACATTATTTAGCAAAATTCATCACACTGTATGCGGTCTGCAACTGATCATCATAATCAATTTTATACCCGAAACCCAAGTCAAACCTGTCCTTCTGTACAGCCTTTCATTGGTTGGATGTGCCTGAATCGCGCCGATCATCTCCGTTTCTGTAAATAAGTTTCATGCCTTATAATAAACGTTTTTTGATACAAACGTCGTCGTTAATATTTAATATGTTGAGAAAGCATTTTTAATTAATTACATTAATGGAGTAACGGATATATTTTGCATTGCATTACCGCTATTAATTTACCTTGACCGTTGTGCTTCCGAGGACATAGTACTTCCGTTTGTACTGAAAAGTAAAAACTCACTCAATAACATTTTTAGCGGATAATAACATAATTGTACGTACAGTTACCTTTTTTTTGCTGGCGCAAAGTCATCCCATTCGCTAAGGTCGTATTTAGATAAATCACCATCTTCCTCCTCCTCCTCCTCCTCCTCTTCCTTCTCGTCTTCCTCTTCCTCCTGTGATTTACAATACCCATTAAGTGTAGTCCGAAGTATCCGCGAGGTATTTTAATCGATATTGAGGAGCGTGACTTTTCAATTCTGACGTCACACACTCGATTTTACGCCGCTTTCAATTATAAAGACTTTACGTTTTCCTCCTGCTCCTCCTCTTCCACTTCGTCCCTCTCGACTTCCTTGTCTCTAGATTTACGCGACGGGCTGCTGTACTTGGAATCCTTCGAATCGTCGTCGGAATTCTTCTCTATTTTTCTCTTTTTTTTACGCCGTCCGAACTCGTCGTACTCGTCGTCGTCGTCCCGCCTCTCCTTGTACTCGACGACTCCTCGATCGTTGTACCCACCACCGTACCCCGTGCGTTCCTCTATCTCACCGAATTTCGGGGCGTTGCACATATTACACTGTTGCCGACGGGCCCAGTTTACGTTGCCGCATTTACTACATTGCCAGTCGTCCGCGCTGCAATAAAATTTTTATACCTTGCATATAGATATAGATGTATACATACATAGACATAAAAATTCGAAAGAAATTGTGTTGCAGATAAATACATGATAAAAAACGTCAATTTTTCCGTAGGTTTGAAAGAGATTTGCGTTGCAGACAAGTACACGATAAAAAAAACGTAAATTTTTCCATTACTACTTTACATTATCATTGTTTGTTTCTATACATGTTTACATATCCAGATTTGTTTGTTGATATTTATTTGAAACCCGCGCGTGCATCATTACCCATTAATAAATAATTTCTGTTTGTACCCATAAAAATACTAGCTTTATTTTCAAATAATCACAGTTGTCTTCTATACTCGTGCCATTTTTCATAAACAGTTATTATTTGTATCTATTAACTATATAATGTATTCATGCACAATTTGCATAAAAATAATTGATTTTATGTAATACTGTTTATTACCGATAAGAAATAACTTTATATCAAATGTGACATTACCTAAAAAGACCTCTACTTTTTTCCGCGGCTGCTTTTCCAATTTCCTGACCCAATTTTTTCTTCTTCGGACATTCACCTCTATCTGCATCAGAAAATCATATTGACATAAAGTGTTCAAATGTCTCACATAGTAGATGCTTGGAAGGCTGCTTCATGCTTGTACTCTAATTTATCTAATATGTACAAACGGCATTCTATGCTTATTGTCAATATAAAACCATGGTGTTGCTACAACATCGCAAAGCAGCTTCGCTTGGGTAAACATTAATATTTCAACTGTACACAACTGCATACCTTTCCCGCAGCGATTGCAGGAGTTACGCCTGGCAAAGTTTATATTGGCACATCTAGAAAGAGAGGGGAAAACTCATTAATGGATCATCATTCAATTGGTAACGTACGCGAGTCTCGATTCAGGGAGACGAAAACATATAGTCGCGGGAGCAGGCAGGCGGGAGGGCGGAGAGGGGGAGGGCGTGATCGAGGGTTGCGAATCGTCACAGCTGAGAAATGCATGTACGTACTGCGAGTCAGGGCAGACCCAGTCGCCGTCGTTGACGCCACGTTGATTCTCGTCGTCGACCTTGCCGTCCATCTCGCCCCCGATCAGTCCAGGCGCGCGATCAGGTGCACCGCGCGCGTTTGTCCCCTCGCAAGCGCGCGACTCCGCGTCCGTGCTCTGCGTCACGCGGTGTCTCGCGCTTAACCTTGCAGCGGTCCGCTCGCGGCGGCGAGCGACGTGTTACTGTCCCGTGGCACGTACCTCGCAGCAGACCTCGCCGTCGACCGCTACCGCGGCTACTGCATTCCGCGCCGCGAGTGTGTAACGCGAGTCTCTATCGGAGCCGATCTACCGTGGCGGCGATGCCTGTGACAAGTCACGACAAGTGGCATCAAGCTGATACCAATGCGGAATACCGCAGAATACCGTCCGTCGTCGGCGGTATACGTGGGTAGACACGAGTGCATGCGAGTCGGACGAGCGCGCCGTGATGTCTGACTGTATCTAATCTGGCGCAGATAAATCGCGCACGGGACGCGTAGCGGTGCCGGCACCCTCTCGACGAGGATTCACGAATCCCCTATGTACGTACATACTCTCCTCGGGCTCGCAAATCCCCTATTGTGCCTCGCCCGGGATTCGCGAATTTTCCACATGTCGCGCCGCGAATATGCATGAAAATATGAATTAGTATTCATAATATATGCAACATTTTATCTACACAAGTTTCTCTAATATAATAATTCTAATGATATATATATATATATTTTTTTCGTTTAATTTACACTATTATACTTTATTATAGATAATATAGATATAATTACAATTAATATGTATCTTTTAATAAACATTTCTTGCTAATTTAATGAAAGAGAAGCAAGTGAAGCGAAATGGAACACGAATGGCACCCCGCTTGTATTTTAAAACGAAAGATATAAATTAATTGTTATGCAGTCCAGCACAACAAAGAACAGATTTATTAGGCCTGTTTTTTTTATAGCTGAACTGCAGGCTGCACACAGTTTATCTTTTTCTTTTCTACATTGGAAAAAGAAAGATAAGCTCTGAACTCTAGTGCAGCCAGTTCAGCTATAAAGAACAGGTTAATTGTTATCGTTAAACGCAGGTATCTCTCGCGATTTCGTAATAGGCGAGATTTATTTACGGCTTACTTACAACACAAGGCTTTTGAGGCAATTTTCAACGTTCCTCTCAGCGCGTTCTCTAGAAACAGGTCCACGATCGTAATTCCTATCAGTTTCCTTTCTCGCTAAAGCGACCGATCTAATCCTCGCGCTCGCGAGGAACGGACGGATATCCGGTGTAACGGAGATTGTATCTTTTTTTTCCCTCTCCCTCCATGCGGTTTTATCCTCCGTGGGGGCGTGGGGAGTGATCGGCGACGTCTCCTGGAAGTATTGCAACACATTGCTAGCGTCAGGAATGGATGATTAGCATAGCTAATCGTATGATTAGCAAGCGGAACCCCCCGCCGCCGGGAACGCGGGAGACCGAATGACAACCCCGGTTTTGACCAAAGTAATTTTATTTGTTTCATTAAAAACTTAGACGTTGGAATGCGACTTCTACACGTGTGACGGGTATAATATGTAAAACTAAACGCTACGATATTTATATTTATAACTATATGCTTATTTCTTTTACGATTCTCCTCACCGGTTAACGCAAATATATATCGTGTATATGTGATAATAGAATAATAGCGGTTTTTTTTAAATATACATACGTATACATACATACGTACGTATATATATGTATATGTATGTACATATTATATATATATATATTTACTGTTTCGATAGCGATAATTAAATCGTCCAATGCGCTAACTACCGCGTGCTGTGTTCCCTCCTCCTTCCCCTATATTGATTTTTCCTTTACAAGCGAACGTTCGAATCGTCGGGCCGGGACACGATATACGTAACACGCAAGATACAAAGAGCGAGAAACACACTAAGAGAAAAAAAAAAATACACGCTGTAAGTCTAATCTCTTAAAAGATTTTTTTTCAATGTAAGTCTGAAATATTTCGATAATTATTAATATCAATTGGCATAATCTTAAAATTGTATGCGAGAATATTTAAGAGAATCGTGACTTCATAATTATTAATATGGATCATTCCGATAATTATTAATATCAATTGGCATAATCTTGAAATTGTATGCGAGAATATTTAAAAGAATCGTGATTCGTTAGAGTCTTTGCGGTCTTTGACACAACTCCTCTTTCACTTTTCTCTTTCCCAATCAGCTCTGCGATTAGCATTCCATCATCCGTTGTACTACGTCGCGTTTCCTGTTTGTTTACGTTTTCGTTTACGTCCCGGCCCGTCGTCGCGTCGCGCCGCACATACCGAGTGTCTATTTACAGAAATATGTACAAAGCGATTACAATTCCGCCCGAGCGAGAGAGTCTCGGTGCACGCGTTGCGAGGATCACCGTCATCCCGGTCCCTCGGTGTCCTCCGTCGTTGCGCCGCCGAGGAGGTCATCATTTTACATAATATCTTTATGCACGTCTATTCTTTTTTTTCCGTCTCTTTTTACACGTCGTGCGACGAGCGGCGACTCTGAGGGATCGGACGCACCGTATCAGCGAGGCAATTATCAGAACAAAAGTACTTTCAGGCTAGGGGGGAGGGGGATGAGTTGCGGGGATCGCGATCTCTGCAGCACAGATTGGAGAGGACGAGAAAGAGAGATTCACTATAAAAACGGGATAAAAATCGACCGTACCTCCGCTCTCTTTTTAGATCTCTAACAATAAGTCTTACAAAATTCCTCGTTTAGAAACTATAACACTCTATACCTTTTACAATGCCAGTTAAACTAAAAGAAAGGGTTGATTTTGAATCATATATCGGTTAGCTCACATCGTTTCGCGCTATATCTATATGCACGATTAAGGTATAGTTATAAAAGTTTAATTGCAGAACGGAGTACTCTGTGACCAATTTGACCAACATCTCTCTCAAATTCTCATCAATCAAGGTTATATCTTTTCTTATTTTCAATGAAACGGTAACAAGATTTTGCAATCGACCTATATACGGCGAAACAATACGGCATTTATGATTCGTTACATAGTTCTTTTTTACTTTTGTACACATTCTGTTCTGCCTCTCCCGAAGATATTAAATATTAGACGACTATACTCTTTCCACTTTGTCTCGCACGCATATGCTGAATTGTTTATTACAATTCATATCAATTGTTAATTACAAGTGTAAAACGCAATAACAGTTAACAATTTTATATTGCTTTGCTACACCGTTTTTTTGCAAAATCCAAATCTTTCTGGTAGGCTTTACAGCAGCAGTGATGCCTTATCTTTTGTGCACTTTCTGCCTTTTCTTATATATATGTAATTCTGCACAATAAATTAAATTAAATACATTCGATGAGAAAAGTTGGTCGAATCGGCCACTGGATTCGCTTCGCATTACATCGTTTTTTTTTTCCACTCGGAACGAAAGAGAACGCGTTTGTCGCGTACGGGTTGGACGTACGATCGATCCAAGCCTCGTTTCACGACAGAAAATCAATTACGGGTCGCACGGGGCGTGATTGCACTTTTCGTTTAGCTGATGCCGACGAGATTTTTGTACGCTCAACAATGCAGGATCTATCGGCAAGGGAATATGCTACTTCTAAAACACGAAATCGAAGGCCGCAGAGACGCTAAAATCGACACGCACACTCGTCGGTTTATCGAGCCCATTCTTTTTAGCAGCACTTTCTGCATTTGAACTGAAGTAAGAGCACACAGTGAAGGGCTCCGTGAAGAAGGGAGAATGGAAGAAAATTCTACAACGTAGAAAGTATAGCAGCTACAAAGAATAGTTCGTCGCAGACCATCTCGTTTCTACTTCGATAAAAGGAAGCTTGCGAACGTTCCTTTTTTTTTTCTTTTCTTCTGCGTAACTCTTGAAACAACACTAGAAGGGCCGACTGCCAAGATATACTCGTTTGATTTTTCATCTCTGTTCTCCCCCCCCCCCGTCTTCCTCGTGTTCTTGATCAACGTAAACTTAATTTTAGCTTAAATTATTCTCTCCTCTTATATATTATTTTTTCCAAAAATCATTCTTCAAAAATTCAGCCTGTCTACCCTTCTAGTCTCGATTCAGTCCTTTGCCCTTTATAAATTAACAAGCGTTTCCCACTAATTCGTCGGTGTGTACATACTCCGGTTTCTCTTAATTTAATACTCGCACTACTCGATCGGGTTTTTTTTTTTTTAAAGAAGCCTTGGCCGTGCCTTTCGTTCGGCACGACGCGACTTCTCAACGGCGATCTAAACTACAATTCCAATATCTTACAATTATTTACACAGACGTACTACTGTACAATCTACAAGTCTCTTTCGTGAAAGAAAATTTGCACATTGTTGCTCTCCCTCTCTTTACTTCTCTCTCTTTCTCCCTCTCGTTCGTCAAAAATTTGCGTGCGCGACGAAACGTTTCGGGAGCGAAAGCAACACGTCGATACGCGGATTCGTGTGTGTTAGTCGTTGCTGATTAAAATTTACACGCTCTACTTGTACACACGCATACACAGACACACACGCGTACACGCACACATATATACGCACGTAAAAATCAAGGTTTATAGATCGGGTAAATGATCGGTGGTTATCGGTACAGCTTTACTGGAACGAACAGAGCGAAGGCACCTTAAAATATCAAGTGGCGTATTCAGTATCCAGCACCTGTGTGTGATTATTTAGTTTCATTGTTTACTTTGCTTCGAGTGAATAGTCCAGGGGAGTTTGGGCTCAATCGTAAGAGGAGAATTTCCGATTCGAAAGAATTTCAAGAAGCCGATTGATCCCAGCCTCCCTTAAAGGGAGGCGACACGCACGGATCGTTCTGCTCTCAATTTGGTCCTTTTTATCTCGGGGACGCATCGGCCGGTGTTTCTCTTAAGTTATCCGTCGATTATCAATTTCGCGTTTTGGGATTTTTCTCATTTCGCGCGCGAGTTTTTCCTTCCTCTCGTCCTCTCCTCTTCCGCTCGTCGGTTCGTCTCGATCCGCCGAAAAAAAAAAAAACTCATTTCGTCTCGTGCGACAATGCGTGAAAACGAACGAACGAACCTTTCGGAAAAAGGTTGCTGGGATAGAAAAGTGTCTAAAAAGAAGTCTCTCTCTCTGTGAGCGAACAAGTTCACCTTTGACGATCTTATTGGATCAATTGCTGACTTTAGGCACCTACGATTCTACGGAACTAGAATTTATGCAATTTTACACACACTTCCATCGGTTACGGTACATAAAACGATTTTATACAGTAAATCCTCTGCGACCGCAGATTACTACAGACGTACGCGTACCTGTTATCTGTGTACACTTTCGTCGTACTCTATTACCCAGTACAAATACATTCTTATCTCTTTACTCGTTTACTTTCCGTTCTCGTCTTCTTTTGTGGAAAAAAAAGTAAAAAAAAAAAAAAAGGAAAAAAGTTGCTTACGCCGCACGAACTTATTTAAGAAGTCACATTGCAACAAAAATCTACGGTCGAAATTATTTTTAAATAACGCAGATACAACTGAAAGTCAAACTGAATCTGCTTTATTTCTCGACTCTTACAAGCTTTGTTTCTGTCTCTGTATATTAAAAATGTAAGGGTAAAAACGTGAAGGAACTAAATATAAACGTGAAGTGAGAGTGAAATTAGCTATGTTAGCTCTAAGCAACGGGTTTTACATGTATAACGAAAGCGTAACACAACGTATACATCGACATTTATATTAATGTCTCTCTTACATTAGAATCATAATAACGTGTAACATGCTAATATAACGAACTTACAAAATAAAGCATACGGCGGACAATGTAATCATTATTGTGTATGTACACCGTCGAAACGTAATGCGGGAGAGTATTCAATAACGAAAGAAAGAAATTTTACTGTCGCAAACGCGAGAGGCACATTAAATATATACAACGTTCTGTCGAGACCTGATAAAGCTTGATTTTTCTCTGTTTAAACGGTATATACTCGCAAAAGTCGTCGATCGTTTTACCGGTGTTTTTTCGAAATCGACAATTTTTAGACATGCAGATTGGCTGTTTTTAGAAATGACATTCCCGTCGTGTATTCGAATAGAGAAAATATTAACGTTTCTTTTTTTCTTTTTTAGCGATATCTGTCGCAATGTCTCACTGTCGAATCATTTTCAGCTTCGAAGGCGACGAGTTTGTACGTCTGTTAGTGTGGTTTTAATGACTTAGGCAAAGGGGGGGAAGAAAAAAAAAGAGAGAAAAAGGGACTTTTCCGAATAACTAAAATATATTATTTTACGCCCCTCATGAAAAGATGTAGGGATCGGCAATACCTAGTACTATCCACCAACTAGCGCGTTAAGATATTCTGGATACTTAGCTATTACTAGGTAAGATAAACTCTCAACAGATAATAGTGATATTATCGAGTCAATAACTTATCGCGACAGTTTTGCGATGTGTATACCAAACGTAAAGTCGCGTGCAAAAAGGTCTTCCTTATTCTATACTCAGTACCTTAATTGTCAAATTTTATATATATGTATGTATATATTTATATATGTATGTACAAAGATATCTCATCCCTAAAGATATTCTACATATCTATATGAAATTTAAATGAACATTTATATCTTATGTGATATGCAGACAAAAAATCTACATATTATATAACATATAAACGTTCGATTACAAGCACAATCATCAAGTTGTGCTGTTAAGAATTGTGAAGAGTACGGCCGCATCGACTCGGAAATCGCGATCAAGTTTCCGTAGTATGGACTTTGCTTTATGTTAGCACAGAATGGCCAATAAAAATCGTCATAAATAATTTACGCATAGAATAACGCATATAAATAACTTAAGCGAGCTCTCCGCGTGATGAGATATGATTCTCGGCAAAGGAAATAACATTTTAAATCTATGTACAAGTACACAGCTCCGTCATATTAAATGGGATTAATTTTCGCGATCATAAATTTGTACAAATTTCCCTTTTCCTAACGCCGCTCATTTGGTCGTCTATACTATAAATATTAGCTTTAATTCTCTCAGCAATGTATGAGACGTCCGGATTTCTTTCGTAGCAAAATAATTTTTGCGATCCTGTATCGGAAGGTATGTGTATGTGTGTGTGTGTGTGTGTGTATTACGTTTTTGTACGTGTATGTGTACGTGTATATTTGCGAGTGTGTATGTACTTTCTAGAGAACAACACGTCTTTCTCGTATTGTTATCTTCTCTGTTCGAGACTAAGGCGGTATACGTGTCTGTGTTTAAATATATATGTATGTAGTCGCAAAGGAAGAAGGATGAAGGTAGCAAACTTCTCTCAATCAAGTAAAAGGTCCTATCTGTCTTTGGATTGAAACACGGCGATCTCTACTTCAGTAAAAGTACATCTCCCCGTGGTCTAATAATTTATCCCGTTGTCCCTCTCCTTTCGCGCGTCCGGACGGCACGGGATGACGACACGATTAGAATTTGCGCTCGGGTAAAGCACCGGTTTCGTTTCCGCGCGCGCGCGGACTCGCGCCCTTAACGAACGGATTGTACTATAGTCGTCAAAAAATCACCTTTTCACGTGGTCGACACAATAGTGTTCGTCGGCGATAAATGCGTCGACGCAGTCGAGTTTGTCGTTGTTGCTGTTGCGATCGTCGTCGCTGTCGTCGTCGTCATCGTCGTTGTCACCGTCGTCGTGCTCACCACGTTGCTCAGCTGCGCACTCGATTCGGAAGTTCGCACGCTCAAGTCCTTCTCCAAACACGGTCTCTTCTCCTTGTGCTCGCCGGACGAGCTGAGCTTCCTCTTGTGCTTCGAGCTCGACGAGTGGGAGCGACTCGACGTCGTCGTCGCGTGGCCGCTGTCCTTGCCGGACGACTGCCTCTTCTCCCCGTGCCTGTGAGTGCAGTGATGCTGGTCGCAGTGGCATTTCTTTCTCCTCTCCTCCGATTTCTTCTCGACGCTCTTCGAGCTCGGCCGCTCCGACTTTTCGACGACCGGGTAACCGTGCGACAGCCCGGGGATACTCAAAGCGTCATCCTTGCCGGCGTCGTCGGACGCCTTGGATTCGGATTTTACCTGAGTGGGGCTCCGGTGGTGATGCCGGTCGTGCTTTCGCTCCCGTCTCTCGTGATCCCTCCTCTTCTTGTGCCTTCGCTCTCTGCACTCCTTCTCGTCCCTGCATCTGCATTTTGATTTCGAGTGCGCCGCGCCGTGAGATTCGGACGACGGTTTCGGCGAATTCTCGTCACTGCTGCCGTTCCTGCTGTTGCTGTGTCTCTCGTTCTCCGTAGACGGAGACGTGGAGGACATCACGGACGAGGAGTACGATGACACGCCGGTTATCGTCGACGCCGCTGCCGAATTCTCGCTGCATGGATTATTACTGTCAGTCGCAAACTCGCCGGTTTTCTCGCTCTTCGCCCGCTCCTTCGCCTCGTCCTCCGCCATTTCGATCAGCGCCTTAACGGCATTCTCCGTCGCGCATTCCATCTTCGATGTGAATGCCAGCACGGTTTCCATCTCGAGCAAATGGCAGTATCTCTCCAGCTTCGCAGTGTCATCTTTGAACCACTGCTCGGCGATCTCGAAGCTCTCCTTGTGGATCTTCTCCAGCACCTCCTTCGAAGCTTCCGAGACTTCGGCGCGCAGCGACTGGCACACTTCCTCGACATCAGTCTTCGATTTGTAGATAGCTATCTCCAACGCTCTATCCACAACCTCGGTGGCGTACGTTTTGGCGACAGATTGCCGCTGCGTCAATAATTCTTCCTCGAGAACAATCGGCGACGAATCTTCGGGCCCAGGTGTATCTACCGGAGACAATTCTGAGCCGCTCAATCGTCTCTTAGTCTCCTTCAAGGAAGACGAATTATCGAACTTGGAAACCATTCTCGCTTCTACACCGGCCACACTTTCTTTACTCGACATACTCTTACTGTTGGATCTGTCGTGATGACTGCAACGATGATCCAACTTGTGGCCGTTGCTGTCGTACTTTTTCTTCTTGCAGGAGTGACAGGTGTCGGAGTTGCTACTGCTGCTGCTGTGCGTGTGATGATTGCTCGACTTCTCGCTGCTGCGGCGGCGATCCTTGTGCTTCTTCTCGGACCTCTTCTCGTCTCTCTTGTCGTTGCTCGGCTTCTGCTCGTTGGTTTCACTCTTGGACGATTTAGTGCTACCAAACGGATCCGACGACTGATTGTCACTGCCCTCCTCCTTATCCTTTCGCTTGAGCGACGAGTGGCTGGAGTGATGGCGACTCTTGCGATGCTTCCCGTGCTGGTCGGATTTCTTCAGATTACCCTGATATTCGGCCGCCCTCTCCTTCGCCTTCTCGAGCGAATCAATCGACAGTTTCTGCTCTAAACGCTGCCGATTCGTGTTCTCCTTCTGCTCGTCGCCTATACCAACTGCTTCCAGAGGCTTCTTCTCCTTGATGCGATGCGCGGACTCGTTCGCCACGCGGCTGTGTCTGATGCTCGTGCTATGCTGCGACTCCGGATAATACTGCTTCAGTCTGATGTGCCAGGCGATACTCGAGACGGCCGAGACCGTCCTGAACTGGTGGATAATGTTGCGCGGTAGGAAATATATGTCGTTGTCGTAAAGATTTATCTTGGCATAACGGACACCCTGTCGGCGCAACTGATTCAGCTTCGCGTCCTCCACCCACTGCACGCACTGCGATATCGGCGGCTCGTGCAAGTCCAGCTGCAACTTCTCGACAAGCTCGGTGAAGTCGCCCGCGTAGAAGGCCACGACGTCCTTCGTGATCCTGTTGTACTGGGACGCCTGGCCGCCGTGAACGGCCTTCAGCACGCCGACCGCCGCCGTGGTCATCCTGTCCAATCCGTGACCGACATGATCGGCGTGCGCCTTCGTACGGTCCTCGAACATGTACTCCCGAGCCTCGCTGAGCCGTGGTAGATACTGCAAGTTCCTCAGCTCGTTAATACCCGTCCTGCGTCGTTTGTACGGGCTTTTGTTTATGTCGGCCGTTGGCACTAGCTGTTCGCCTGGTCGGATCCACAGGATAGGGCCGTCGTTTGACTCTTGCGGCGTATCCATCTTCACGACGGACAGAGGTCCCCAAGGCATTGTCTGGAATACAAACACGAATTACATTAGCGAATATACAAATAAGTATGTTATGCGCGAATTTACGATCTACTTACCATCTTTAGGAATGGATTCTCTTCTAATTTTTGCAGCAGATCCGGAAAATATCCACCGACTTCTTCGTGAACAGTACCCACCAGACTTATCTGATGTAACGGCCCGTATCTAATAGTACCGTTACTATAAGATTTACAAACTTGGTCTTTGTATTGAGCCATTGTGGTTGTTTCAATATCGCTGTTTCTACCCAACACCCCGTTTTTTACGGTCAACGTGGGATAACTATTCGCCATATAGTCCAGAAGATCAGGCAGGTATGCAGCCGCGTTATGTACTATACCCATAACATGATGAGCATTTCCGTTTTCGTCCTCGCCGAAAACCACCTAGGGAATTAAAGATTTTATTAATAAGTTTTCACCGTGCATAAAAACTGAAAAAAGTGTTGATGTCATTAAAGCCGTATACTATACAAAGCTGTTTATTTTACATTAAATCGCGTTTACGTACTTTGAAATACTCCTGCGCCAGCTCTTGCATTTGTTCACTCGTCAAAGTACCAATCTCATCCTGAAACATATGGACAACCGACGCGCCGCCGTTAGGATACGTTTCTATGTGGATGAACTTTTTGTACTTTAGGCCTTCCAGCAGTTCTTTCTTCGTCACCGGATTGTTTAGCATCTTGTAGTTTTTCGTTTGTAGATTTAACCTTAGGTTTTCATTGATCGATTTCGAAAAAGGGACAAGAACCTTGCCGCTCAACGAGGACAAAACGTGACGGTCCCGTTTGCATTGTACACCAATGCTCGCTCTTTTTATTCCCTTGCGTTTGTGACACCGCGAGCAATATCGCCTGTCCTCCTTCGAGCGTTTCTCTCTCGAGGACGAATAAGTTTTCGAATGCGAACTGGAAGATGGATTAGCAACGGAATTCGTGGATTTGTCCTGGGAACCCGTCGCCAACTCCGTCCTATCCGACTCCACCGCTGAAAAACTGTCGTCTCCCCAGGATTTCACCATTTGAAGCTCCTCTCGCGAATCCACGGGTTCTTTCTTAATCTCGAGAGGCTCCGCTGTCAATTCTCTGTCTGTAACGTCCTCCTCCTCTCCGGCAGCGTCCTGCTGCTCGCTCGATTCTGTTTTTACAATGCCAACCTGTGAATCGCCTATCTTCTTCGGCGACGGACAAAATAGATTCTCGGTTACTTTATCTATAAACGTGACCGCCTTCTCTTCGGTGTTCTCTTCACTATATTTTGCTGTGTCCATAATAACTGTGGAATTCGCCGACATAATGCCGATGGGAAACGTCGTGTCTGGACTACGAGGATGTGGACTGACAGAGACCCTCGGAGGATAGTCGGGACTCGGAGGACTGCTGATCACTTCGCCATTACTTTGCGGACTCTCTCCCAACTGCGGTGTGTTGTTGGAGAAATTCATGCATCCTTCTAATTTCGCTTTTGTGGATAATACGTGTACGTCTCCGGATAACATTGTGTCGTTGTTACGTGTGGAATCGGTCTAAACAAAAAAAATTAATTAGATAAAGACTGCTTCATTTCTACAATATAAACAAATGCAAGAAATATTTTGTCAAATGTATGTGTCAATAATTATTTTGTCAGTGGTATGCATCAGTGTAAAACACATTATAGTAATACAAAAAAATATAAGTCTAAAAATATCTTATAAGAATTGCTGGGTACCTACATGCGTAATATGGTCAACTGGTTCCTTAGCAGTTTTTACTACATCATTGTTGCAATGATCTGGACTTCCTGCATCATACATATACCGTTCCATTTAATGATGTGTAATAAATCTCATTATAAATTATACTTCAATTTTATACACATAGTTAGAGTGATGTTAGTGAGAATGATCAAATCTAATCAGTAAATATTCAAATTCCAATCTTGAGTCGGCAAACCTTGATTTGAAGATAGAAAGTGAAAGATTTTGAGCGAAGGAGACAAATTATTTGAAAATTTATATGTTTCATTTATATAATAATAATAATAATAATATATATATCTAAAATAAAGCATATAATTTTAGATTTATAACTTCTGCTCGATGTCATTCTTCTATGGAAACAATTTTCTTTTCAAGAACATTAATTATAAACTTAATTCTTATAACTGCATTAGTAGCAAAAAATGATATTTTTTTCTTTTATACTATTTTATTAAATTTATTGATAAATAAAAAAACATGTAGAAAAGAAATAAAATACAACTGTCTCACAGCATAATACGCACAGCATAATACAGCATAATAATATCAATTAAAGTTTATCTAGACTTCTGTACACTAAAAAAATAAATTTAAAATAATATAGATTATTAAATATAGATATATATTATTAAAATATAAAATATATAGATTGTTAAAATAAACAGACTTTAGGAATTCCTCAGTGACAATTTTTTAGTAATTGCTTGTTAAATGCTATACATTATCAAATCTAACAAATTTACTTCGAAATTCAATGTATATGTTACATGTATTGAATATATTCTATGTGTTAGAACATTGGAATGCAAAGCTTTGTCAGCTAGCTGTCAGACTACTTTGATAATTACATTCTAGCATTACAAACAACACAGATATGAAAGAGCTATTGCCCGCTGGAAAGTATCTTTCAAGGGCTTCGCGCAACAACGAACACGGAAGGAGATTACCGTCTGGCTCTCCCGGAAGACAAGCGGTGTCGTCCAGGTCACTACCATGGTGAGACATGCTGCGCCGCTGGGGGGACGGCTGCCGCGTTTCGCTATCGGTTCCGCTGCTCGCGACCAGTTCAGCCACATCACCAGACGAGCCCGCGAGGCTCGTGCTCCTCCGTAACGCGTGCCCTTCCGTGTCCGTGCAAAACGGTGACGCTGCAGGGAGACCCGTGGGCGTCCTCGGCGAATTACGCGCGGAATCGCGCGCGCGGTCGTCCGTCACCTCGACGGCGATACGCGACGCCGTCCCGGATGACGTAACACGCACTGTTTCGCTCCCAACTGACTCGGTCGCCCGCTGGCTCGTATTATTTACATCACATCCTACGTTTGACACGATACGCGCACCATCCTCGGATGCCATCTTGGTTCCGTGAGCGACATCCCGGACGCGGCGATACTACGCGTCCGTCGATTGGCGGTCGCGCTCGCCGGCGACGGCGCGCGCCGGCCGCCATTCGCCCGCGCCGACGCCGCCGAGCAGGGGCCGCGCCAGTAGACGGGCCGGTTCTATCGGCGCGAGGGCACATTTTTATCTGCCGGAATCTCTTCGATCTCCAAACCTCGTTTTCCATGAAACTTTTTCCATTTCTATCGCCACGCCGGCGACGACACGCGGAATTGATGCGCGAGATAGGATTAGAGATGTGGGGACCGGATATCATCGTCCACGAAGATTTCCGACTATCCCGAGTGAACGCTCGAAACCGAGCTTAATTCGAAATGTGCGTTGCGCGACGGAACAAATGATGAGTCACTGCACTGATAACGAAAGTTAATAATTTTTTTTAAGTTGCAAAAACGTGGATTTTGACTCGCGTTCCTTTTTACTTGATTATATTTTTCTGATATATTAATTTTTCGAAACTCTAATTTTTTGCGACACAAATCCTCAGAATTAAAAAGTTAAAAATTCTTGATATTACAGTTCTTAAAATTTTGATTAGTGTCATCTCTTACGTGAACTGCATATTCTCCTGATACTTTTTGTCGATTTTGATGAATCGAAAGTTTGGTAATAAATATTGGTAATTATAATAAAATTGCGTTATTATTAATAATTAGCATCGGTGAGATACTGTTAAAATTAAAGACCTCGTCAATCCTGAACAAATTTCCATGACCATCAAAGGGGCCCGAAGGGCCCGCAGATAATTGAAGAGTGTCGATATTATCGACTATTGATATAAATTTGCGATTGTTAAATATATTTGAATAATATATGTATTGTTAAAATCATAATTTATTGTTATACAAATGCTTTATAAATAAGCATACTTATAATGTTATAATATCATTTATTTAATATATTTATAAGCATACTTATAATGTTATAATATCATTTATTTAATATATTTATTTAATATCATTTACTTAATATTATTTATCTATTCAAAATACTAATTACAAAATAACGTAGCTAATCAAGTAGTTTGTTATCTCGTTATTTATTGCAGGCACACTAAATGGGATCTTAAAAAAAAGTGGATTTTGTAGTAGAATTTGAGCAATTGGACTCTACTAATCTTACAATTAATATGCCTTAATAGCTTTAACAATTTGATTTTTAATCTCCGATTTCTAATTCTCAATCTTTGTTTATAATTTAATAGTGGAGATTTTATGCGGATTATTTTGTTTTCTACTTCCATCGCGATTGAATTCGGTTCATGCGATACGGGACTTAACGCGCGGGGACGTACGTGGTCGCCCATCTAGACGTTACGCGACCCGTGGTCGCGGTGTCGCTTGCGCCGCTTGCGCGCCGCACAGTGCGTACTCGGCATCGGCGTGACGGAGAGGCTGTGTGGGCGAACGCGTACGGGAAATAAACAGAGTGCGGCGTGTAGTAGTGGTGGCGAGAGAGCGCGCGTTTAACAACCATGTCGTCGTCGAACAAGAAGGCCAAGGAGCAGGAGGATCCGGGCTCGGGTGAGGGGGACGCCCGCGACTACGACGTCGAGATACAGAAGACCCTCGAGGAGATCGACGGCTGTCAGAATCAAATCGATGGCCTGAACGAGAAGGCCAGCGACGAGATCCTCGAGGTCGAGAAGAAGTATAACAAGCTGCGCAAGCCCTACTTCCAGAAGCGCAACGACATCATCAAGAGGATACCCAACTTCTGGGTCACCGCTGTATCCTTTACCGCCGACGCCGCGCCCGCGCCGTCCGTTCGCGCGAGCCGACGAGCTCCGGCGCGCGGACCCGCGCGCCGTTTTGACGTTTCTCGATGGTGCCGGCGTCCACCGGCAACCGCCGCCGCCATCTTACCTACTTGTGTACGTGCGTAAGCGTGTATAACCCGCGTAGACGATTACGCATTTTTATGATTAATGCTTTTTATATCGGTCGCCGGATCGACGCCGCACTCTCGGAGGATCTGCGCCGTGCCGCTGTCGGCTCGCGGAAACGCGCGACGATATCTCAGTCTTTCGATATTTCATGTATAAATTAGTAACGTGTCCGGAGCGTGTAGAGAGATCAAATTGAATCGCGGTATATATTCCCGAATCCGGAGTTATTTGACTCCAACTTTGAATCTCGCGTTGATCGTTTTGAATGATAGAACGGCATTGATGAATGGTACTTTTCTTATGATTATTATTAAGTCAAGTTGATTCATATTAATATTTTTTCTTATGAGAAATTTAGTTTGTAAACAACAAAGAAATAGCAGACATATTGGAAGAAGACGAGGAAGACGCACTGAGATTCTTAAACAAATTAGAAGTTGAAGAATTTGAAGATATCAAATCTGGCTATAGGATTAATTTTTACTTTGACAAGAATCCATATTTTGAAAATGACGTTTTAACTAAGGAATTTCATCTAGGGTCTTCTGGTGAGCGCATTTGTTGTCAGCTTTTATTTAATTTTGCTATTAAATCGATACATAGATAGAAAACCATAATTGCGTAACAATTTAGAAAGAAATGTATAATATAATGTGATTTAATTGAGTATCATAGTTGCGATGAATCTCCTGCTGTTTTGCAGGAGATCCAGCATCTCAAAGTACACAGATTCGTTGGAAAGAGGGTCGGGATTTAACAAAGAGAGCAAAAACCAAAGCACCGCTGAAAGGACGCAAGAGGCCACTCAAACATAGGTCATTTTTCGATTGGTTCACGGATCACGGAGATCCAAGCTCAGACGAGATAGCTGAACTAATTAAGGATGATATGTGGCCTAACCCACTGCAGGTAAACTACCACTTTAAAGATATATTTAAATGTTAAGGAAGATTATGTATGCGTTAATACATTATTATTTATTTCATGGGTTTTAGTATTATCTGGCTCCGGATATAGACGTTGAGAATGGTATTGAGGGCGATGGTGAGGAATGCGAAAGTGAAGAGGAGGATGAAGAGGAGGATGGTGCGGATGATGGCGATGATGGGGGAGAAGGAGAGGAAGGAGACGACAGCATAGTGGTAGTGGAGGATGACGTGGATGAAGATGACGATGAGGACGAGGCTGTGAACGATGAAGACGATGGCGTCAACGAAGAGGATGATCTGTTGGTGGACGATGAAGTGGATCATGATGGTGAGCGTAGAGATCAAGTTTTACGCGTGTTATATGACACGCTTAAGGCTAATATTACATTTGTCCTCGTTTTTGTCGTGCAACAAAGCATTTCAAGCCTATTGATTGACTATAGAATAGAGAGATCCGACAACTTCTTTTTCTTACAGTCAATCATCAGGCTTGAAAAATTTGTCGTACGACAGAAAACGGATCAGTGTAAGAGTACCCTAATATGGAGATCCATTGTTACAGAGGGAGAAGAACCTGAATAAAGTTGGAATGTCCGGCTTCTGACATTGTACTCCGCAAATAACATGAACAAGAAAAAAAAAAGAAAAATGAATGAAAATGTGTGCACCGAATCAATCAAGAGCAGATAGTCTAGTGGACTGAAAATATTACGCCATATGAATAAATCTCAGGACGCATGCTTTTTTTTCCTCGTATATACGAAAATAGAGAAGCCAGAATTTAAAGGATCTTAGACTCTTTCGATTGAGAACCTGTGTATAAAAATACAGCATTTGTTAAGATAATATAGAAAGTGGTTTGAAAGGAAAGGGTCTGGATTGGATTAGATAGGTTTCCACCATTGCACTAAATCTGTAATCGGAACGTAGTACGAATTCCTCAGTTATATTCATATGGCCTAGTCTCGTCGTTTCCTTAATGAAATATGCGACAGAAAAAAATGTCCGCTTGGTTCTTAATATCGCGGATTTTATCGATAAGTTAGGATAAAATATAGAAACGAGGCACTAGGTGGGGAGTTCCATTTGCTTTCTCATAAAAATGATTCTTTAGATATGACTTCCAGAACGAGGTGTTTTTAAAGTAGAATTTTTGAGAGTGACAACTGTCATTCCTCCTTTTCCGCACGTACACACGGACCTTCACATAACCATTGTCTTATTACTTTTTGAATAAAACACGTAGAATAAAGATTTTATCCTTTGCTACGATTCATTTTTTTTTTATAATCACATGTGTCGTCTATTATTAGTCTGGAGAGTGGTGGATAGTGATAAAAACTTTTGAATGATTCATAATTGTTACTAACTTATTTAATTTATATTACCGCAGACTACAACACAGACTGCATTTTTACTTTACCTGACATTTTTTAAATGTAATCTTATATTAATAGGCATGAGAGAAATATCGGTGGTGCCCCGTTATAAGTTACACGTAAAAAAATTTACATTATGCATACATGGCATATAACTATGACATAGCACATATAATTTTGGCTATATCATGTTACAATGTTGCCTCTAATAAACGAAAACGCATAGATACTGTATTCATATATTATTATAGAATACTTTTACTCGCAGCTATGTAACGGAGCTGTTGTTTTGTTATCTTAATACTTTAGTTTGAATTTTATAAACCGATTACCATACTCGAGCAATATAGAAATGTGTTGCTACGCTCAAGGAATTATGTACAATTCGATAAAAACTTTCGATAAAAAATTGCAACGTAAAATTGTGTATTTTATTACTCACGGACAAATGAGATGTGCTCTGTATCGAGATCCGTTTCGATTAGCATTGATTCTCTGTTGGACGATCGTCCGAGGAATTCAAGTTCAATTTTTAACGATGATATCCATCGCAAAGCTTGTCACACTCAAAAAGATAATATCTTCATCTTGTCACACCTCGTTCACGTTCTTCCACACTTCGTGTCACGATTTACCCATATAAAGTAAGTGTTTCGTGAGACATTTCTTACATTTGATACATCGCGTACTCCTAACGATGATTTCACTGTAGGAGATTATCGTATTATATGGCAAAGGTGAAATCAAGATACGAAATCACGACGTCGCTCTTACTGTCTCTTCTCTAATCGGCGTCAATAGACGAGAAATACACAAGTTGTCGGTTACACATTCGCATCAGTAAACAGAATCTCATTGGTTACTCTGCATTCTTCGAAGCCTAGGAGGAAACAAGTAATTACTATATCTCGAATAGAAAACGCTCGTAGTCGATTTGATAAGATAAGCTGTAATTGTCTAATTTTAGAATAAAGTACAACAGCGATATTTTTTAATTAAGGATATATATATTCTCGTGTTGTTTTATTATTCGGATATGCGGTTCTGTCAGTATTTATTAGATTAATACGTGTTACCGCTAACATGTGTGAGAAAAGGAAGTATTGTCAAAATTATAGAAATGATAAGACCAATAAGATTCGTATTTTACCATTAGACATTTGTGTGTTTGTATATTACATTCATTGATACCTATTGTTTCGATTCCGTTGCGTCTTACGTGAGAAAGGATAGTTATCTTGGAAAGAGAGCGACGAGTTGTAATAAATTTTTTACATCGTGCATTCTCTCACGGAGAGATGTGCGAAAACTGCTCTCTTTTTTTTTTGCCGCACGAAGAATAAATGTGTCCTTAGCGAGGATGAGACGCGCGAGAACACGAGAATCAAGTGTAAACCTTCACGTCGGACGACGTACCCGTGTTACGCAAACACGCATCAGATCAGAATAAAGTTGCCAGTTTGAGATACAAAGTTTGAATTTTTATATTGTTCATTGTAGTCTTGTAGATAGTCTTATAGAGATACGCGTGCACGATATTACGTAGCCTGTCGCTATCGAACAGCATTTAGTTATATTGCAGCGGTTTACTTTATCGTGTGATATAATTAGATAATTATACAGCCTTCGTCGAGATAATTTAATGTCACATCGGAATTTTAAAGATCAGTGTTACAGAGACTTGCAGAACTGAAATTTTTTAATTTCTTTTTTTTGGGGGGAGGGGGACTAACGATCATCGTCATTCGTGGAATTTCGTTAGATTCGTGGGAGTCGCGACCATATTCGCCGGCCGAAATGCGGAACAGGAAGCGACCGACCAAATAAACTTATCCCCGGTCCCCTACGAAGAGCGCGTTAACCGCATTTTTTTTTCTCCCCCTTTCTCAGCGGATTGTCAAATTCTCCACTTCTTACATGGACACGCGTGATTCACACGAGCGTCGTTCGCCCTGATCCTATTACGAGCAGACCGAGCACATGCAGACCCAGCCGTGGGCAAAAAAGCGCCACTTCAGATCCGAAGACGCGCGCGGCTGCGTAAGACGGCGAACCTCGAGGATGATGCGTGTGCGGCTGGCGGCTTCTGAAACGCAGGATTTTTTCACAATGCGCGACTGTGAGCCAGGGTGTCATAGTCAGCATCAATATCGCTGCCACGACGATGATGGCGGGGCGATATTCTGCGTCCCCCGTATAAGAACGTAGACCTACATAAAGTGAAGCGAAATCCAAATCAACGATAACGACGATTAAATTTATCAGTCAATATATCTTCGAAATAAAATCGTTAACGTTAAATAACAACTTAATATTTTATTTTCTCTTGACAATTTCTTCTGGCGGCGCAAGAATTCTACAAAATTTCTTAGCATCTAATGAGAACAGAGTCGGATAAAATCTTATCACAGATTTCTCGTTAATAAAGCATCGTTTATTTATAAATGACGATTTAGATTATAAATTTACCCTTGTTGAGATTTGGAGGCAACATGCGCCTGATGGATGATACGAAATTTCGTGCGACAAGGGGGCCACTGTTGAGAAACCCTCGGCAAAAAAAGTTGCTTTGTGCTGCGGCATGGAGGAGCAGAAGCTGCGGAAGAAGTCACGAGGACGGCGAAGAAGAGTAAGCCGCGTAGCTGTATTCGCATTTGCTTATGAAAGCCTATGCAAACATACAATATATTTACTCAATAAACAGATCGCGATAAAACATAGTATAATTTAAAATATAGATTGATTGTTAATATCTTTTTTTTTAGCAACAATTGCATTTAAGAAACTGTACTTATTTTTAATAAAATCTTGAATCTTAATTTATTCGGAGCTTCCCAATCGTTTCCATCAAGTCGCAAACGACACGCGACGATTTTGAAGATTATCGCGCCTGTCTGTGTGTGCCTCCGTTTCTGTTGGAATCGCGCTATTAATCAACACACACGAAGTCTGCAAGCGTATCACGCGTATTCTCATATCTGACGAGACAGAGAGAAAAAGAGAGAGTGAGAGGGAAGGACGGCAGACTTGTCGATCGTACTACGCAACAGTGTGTTGCCGCGTTACAGAAGGAGGGAGGATGAGGACGAAGGGTAGAAGGAGAGGCCCGGGACCTGCGAGGGAGATGTACAAAGGTGCAGATGACAAAACCGAAGTGCCGGCGTACCAAATGCTTCAATTCAAGCTGAGCGCTCGTCCAAGGCGCATCCGGGCGAAACTTCTTCGGGACGGTCGCTCACGCGTTTCTCTCGAAGAGGTTTTAAAAGACAGTGATAAAAGAAAAGACGATTTTCCCGCGAAGAAAAAAGAAAAATTTCAATCGCGTTGTTCGATCGACGCGAAAAGTCGCGCGAGTCTAATAATCACAGTGTTCGATCGATGAGGGAAAATGGCACGTTATATCGATTTCGCTGCGCCCTTCATCCTCCTCCTCCTGATGGTCCACCTGGAGCAGCTGGTCCTGCACAAACGAGGTAACTATCGTAGTCCGAATAACAATTGAATTCCCGATCGAATCGCTAGAATTTATTTGCCCAAAATTATTCAAGACTATTAAGAATATTATTCGAGAATATATTAAAGAAATTCAATTAATTACCGCACAAAAATTTCAAGTGATATCAGAAACGCAACTAGTTTTTAGCTTACTTAATTAATTTTCGCTTTTCCAATATTCCTTTTTTTTATCAAATTTTTTTCATCGAATCTATCTGATCATGTTGAGATAGATTTTTACATAAAAAAACCGTATGACTTTGGTGTGTATAAATTGAGATAAACTCCAACTTCCAGAAAAGTATTCACGTGGAAATTATAAATATCGTAGAAGAAACTTGGAGAATTTTTAAAAAATTTAATTAACGCACCGCGCGCGTGTTTTCCCTGTATAAAATTATCAAATCGCTATTTGCAATAGACTAAATTTCATTGCGTCACAACGATGTTCAATGTGTGTACCGACGTTAAGCAAATCATCCTATTAGTTAAGTTCTCCATTGACCTAGGCTTATTTGCGCACGCAGAATACTATGAATACTATGAATTGCGTTTGGCATTTCGAAACTTCAAGGCGAAGTTCCACGAAGTTCGATCGCCAATATATTCTAAAGATATCAATAATTGTATTTAAGTGGGCGACATGGGCGCAGGCAAAAATTTTCTTCAAAAGAGAATGCTACCTTTTCTACACATACAAAATACATACGTATCGCACAATGCATTCTGTCGCTTTATGTGTAACGTTCTTTTTCTCATGATAGATTTATATGTAATCTTTTGCGTTTGACGTTCATAAAATTCCATGTTAACTCCAAAGTGTACGATCTCGACACGTTTTGTGCAAAAAGAGCACGCGATCGACGCCCATGGTAGTTTCGTGCACACGGCGCGTCGATTGATATAAATTAATTTTCGCATTATATGTAGATCGGACGCATTGAGGAACAATTGAGATTGTGAACGCGCTATTGGAGGATCTCTAAGCTCTTCGCAGAAACTGTTTGCGCGCTAGATTGATATATATTTTACAGATAAAATTCGCGACTCGCATCTATCAGTGGGAAAACACACGATGTCTAAGAGAAATTAGATTTTCGCTCTTATCAATGTGCAAAGCGCATTTTTTCCCCCCGCTAGTTCCTCTCTCGCATATTTCCTCAATAGATTCATAAATCTCTTTATAATTTCTTATGTGAGAATCGCGAGAAGAGATGATTCTATTTTTCTAATTGTCAGGCGCTTTCGTGCTTTCGCCGTGAGAATTTCGTAATAATGCAAATAAGAGATCCGCCAAGTTTTTTGAGCGAACGACGAAAGGATTGAGAAAGTGATAAGCCTGACAAAAATCAAACAGAGCATTTGACCTAGATACGCTTGCCATCTCGTTCTTTTCGAGTTAATTTACGGCACGCACACAGATAAAAAACAAGACATTTAAAGTTGTTTCAAGAAACCACGCGCGTATATTTATTTTCAATTTACTTTTGCTGTTGGAAGGACAAAGGATTCAAATTTTTATATATTTTTAGTCGATTTAACTTTTAGGTATACATATATATATATTATCATTAAATTAATACCAAGCACAATGTAATAATCGGCATCTGCTTTTCCGAGCAAATTAACACGCCTCGCTTAATTTTTATCGCTCGAAATAGCGCTCGTCGTCGAGGGAAGAATGGAGGCTCAGTTCGAGAAATGCTGCGGCCTTGGAACCTCTTGGGCTAAGGAGGGCCTTAGGTGCGAGAAGTTCACCGGGCCGGTGACCGGAGTGCCGGTCGTAGAGCAGGGCCTCTGCCTGGAGGCGGTGGATATCTGTTGCGTTCGCGCCTACCACGAGCTGCAGTGCGAAAAGGGAAAAGCCGACGCGCGCGAAGGTCTCGCCTGCGTGACGAGCGCGACGTCGCAAAGATCCCCGAAGACGCCCGGTCGCGGCGATTACCATCGCGACTGCTGCGAGGGCTGCAAGCTAGGTGACTACTTTTACTTATATCTTGCGAATTACGTCGAGAGAGTACTTAATGTATAATTAACGAATAGCTTCTTGTTCAGAACGATACTCGGATAAACTCATTCGTATCGATTATCCCTGACGAGTGTCTTCATCAATGTATTATCAGGTATCCTCGCGGGGTCTATGGGTCAAGGATGCTCCTTCAAAAGCTTTTCATTCGGCATTCCTTGGGATCCAGCGTTCATGGAATGTTGTCGCGAAGCGTCGCCGAGCTCCACGACGGATCTTACGAGTGAACTAACGAGCGAGACCTCGACCGAAACCGATCTAGATTTCTCATCGTCGTCCTCGCCAACGTCCTCGTATTCGCCGTCGCCGTCGTTGTCCTCGTCATCGTCATCACCGTCGCTATCGTCGTCACCATCATCATCGCCGTTATCGTCATCGTCGTCGTTTTCGACGTCGCCGTCGTCGTTTTCGTCGTCATCGTCATCACCTACATCACCTTTATCTACATCCTCGGATGATCCGTCCTCTACATCGTCAGACTCCACGCCGTACTCGATACCAACTCCAGGTGACGTACAATTTGCACAAAGAAACAATTTATCGCGTGGAATATTATTACATACTCTGTAATTATAAATGATAAAATTTATAAACTAAAAACATGTCGGCGAATAAAATTCGCACTGCAAATAAATACTGTGAACGGCGTGAACTGCGCGACGCGTTTTTCTTAAGCGCGTAAAGGAGAATGTCGGCGCAGTCGTAACTTTTCCTTTTTTTTTTATAGTCTATGTGCAAGCGCGACTTTAAATCACAATGTTCTGATTCACAGAGCTGGACGATATCTGTCAGCTCATGAAAGGCAAACTTTGCTCTGACATTTGCGTCCCGACGCAGGGCTCGTATCGCTGCGAGTGCCGCGACGGCTTCACTTTGTTGCAGGACGGCAAGACTTGCAAGCAGATCGACAGGTACAAATTATATAGATTTTTAATATTTAATATTTAATATACATCTTTTTATTGCTCTGGAAAATGCATTTGTGATACGATTGTCATTCCAGTTAATTATAATTATTGGCGACGATATCGCGAACGCGCTGCAAAACGATGGAAAGTCAGCTTTATCATCTCAATCTGTGAGAAGCGTTTATTATTAATAATAAAAATATTAACAATGAAATGTCCGCTTTTAGATGCAGACCGACTCATCCCTGTGAGCATCGATGCACCGACAACGGAGTGGCTGTCGTATGCAGCTGTAATCCAGGATACGACCTGGCCAGCGACGGACGTTCGTGCATCGCGAGGTCGCCGCGGAATAAAAAGAAACCGGACAAAGCCGAGGATAATGAATTGTCGCCGTTGTGCCCGTTGGGCTATCGTTATAACGCCACCATTCAGGTGTGCGACGGTATGTATACTATAATTGGAGAAAATGTATAACGCTCGCGTATACAGGTAAGGGAATGGCATTTGACATTTATTATTTTTTTTAAAGCGATAACAGAAGCGTCGTTTACTTGATACAAACTAACATACTCGTATGTCATGTTTTTCTCGTGTACCGCAATATCGCGTCGATTGTATCGCTATGTTCGCTGGTGGCATTGTTACATCTTTGTCTCGTATATCTACTCGCTTATGTGAATTAATTGCAATCGAGTCTCTGTACCTTCTTTCTTTTTTTTATTATTCTGCGAGATTATAATTCTCGTTCAATCGCACTCCGCGCTGCTTGTTTCTGCAATCGTGCGTACCATTTTCGCATGTGATCGTCACTTTTCGCTGACACCGCACACCAGACGTGGATGAGTGTCTGGAGCGCAATGTGTGTCCCGACGGAGGCTGCCAGAACACCATAGGATCGTATATTTGCATCAGGGAGAGGTCCGCGAAGAACGCGCCTTACGAAGCTTGCCCCCCGGGCTACGAGTGGCAGCCGCTGACGGGCGAATGCGTAGGTGAGAAGAAAAGCGCACGTCTTTCCCATAAAGTCATCCGCGCACCCTCGATCGACAAATTCGATAAGTCGAAATTATTGCTACTCGCTTATTTTTCAGATATCGACGAGTGCGCCGTCTTATCGGCTGCCTGCGCCGCCGACAAGCCGTTCTGCGTGAACACGCAGGGTAGTTACGAGTGTCTGGAAATGACCGGGGTGAAATCCTGCCCCGCGGGATTCAAGTTCGACAAAACGTTGCAGCTGTGCAAAGGTATAATATTGGCAGTATATATTGTACGATTGTTCGGTCAAATAAATTCGCGAATGTGGTAAAATGGATGAATCTTCCGCGGGAAATCTTCCCTCTTCACGCGTTCCCTCTCCGCTTATTTGTTAATCAGATGTGGACGAGTGCGCGGAAGCTATTCACAGCTGTCTGGCAGATGTCGAACAATGTCGAAACACCGAGGGTGCTTACGAGTGCGATATGAAATGCGGGAAAGGATTCACGTATAGTATCAGTCTGGGTGTCTGCGTTGGTGAGTTTTCATCTCGACGAGTTTTAGTAAATTTTTGTTAATGACGCACGCTTTTGCGACAAAGTAAATTTTTTAATTTACTTTGTCTTTTACTATAGTTTTATACTTAAATTTCCGGTCTTTCTAACAGGTAACCGTATGCATGCATCTCGCGATCGCAATTTTTTTTCATTGTAAAAGATCGATCGAATGATCATAAAAAATGTTGTGGATTACCATAGGAATTTGAGTTCGCATCAACGATCTGATTTCGCATGCAACGCTTCATCCTCATATCTTTCATGCATGTGAGTAATCAGTTAATTTCTTAAGTGATCACGTTTTTGATAATCCGTATGCAATCATTAATTAATATAATTTCATTAAATTATATTAAATAATATAATTTTATTAATATAACAACAGAAATTATACTGTACTATAAATTCGTACTGCTGAATAGTTAAGATTTTAGAGAATTTGAAATCCGAAAGTTATATGGCATATTTTCAACAATTTGAAATTTTCTTTCTACAAGAATAAATAGATTATGATCCACGATTATATGATTTTCATATTACCATGTATTTCCTTTTAGACGTAGACGAGTGCATCGAGTCGAGAAATCCTTGCCCCGACCCCAGCACAATATGCGTTAACACGGAGGGTGCGTACGAATGCACAAAGATATCGGCGAGTCCTTTTCCGCGTCTTCCAATCGACAAGGATCCGTCCGACCGTCAAAAGAATATGCAATCGGGTTCACGCATGACTTGTTCCGCGGGATACAAGCTCTCTAACGACTCCGGAATGACGAGGTGTATCGACGTCGACGAGTGCAACGAAAAATTGCATTCTTGCGAGCCCGACGAGCGTTGTGTTAACGAAATTGGTAGTTACAGGTGCGACATTCTGTAACAATTCAATGACGTAGATTTAAAGTAAAATTTTAACAAATTATTATATTTAAAAAAAAATAGGTGCGTGCCGATTGAAAACACTACTGGGATGTCTATCACGGAGGAGACCAACGTCAATCAACGCGACGATCGATTTAGCAGAGGGAACAAATTAGAGGGAACGAGCGTTTCGTCGGTCATGAACGAAATCGAAGATTGCAACGTCGGCTATGTTTTCGATGGAAAATCTGGCCGTTGCATTGGTAAGTATAATTATTCCCATTTCAAATCCTGAATTGTATTTTATTAATATTATTATTATTATCGGAGATTCTGGTAATTTCAGTCGTTTTGATAATTTATATATCGCAGATGTCGACGAGTGCGCCAATGGAAAAGCGACTTGCGACACAGGCGAGCGTTGCGTGAACACGGAGGGTGGCTACCGATGTTCTCCAATCTGTCCACCTGGTTTCCGGCTGCGTAACACTTCTCGATATACGAGCGGGGCCAAGGAACGTTGCGAAGATATTAACGAATGTTTGCTCGGTTTGCATACGTGCAACAGCTCGACTCAATATTGCATTAATACGAACGGCTCCTACGTTTGCGGAACGCGGACTACTACCAGCACTACCGAGACGACGACTAGCGACATAGCAAGAAGACCGTTCATTGGTTCGCGCTACAACAGGGTACAGGTGCCTAAAAATTTCGCGAATTTAGGATTACGTTGATTTTGCGCGAACGACATGCAGATACGCATTATTCGTAAAAATTATCACTTTAACGTAACATATCCAAATCTCTGCTCCAGGGCACGGATCGTTACTGGTCCACCGAACCTTGTGGCCTGGGATACAAGAGAGACGCGGATACGGGCTACTGCGTGGACATAGACGAGTGCGCGGTCGGTCCTGGGTGTCGGGATCACGAGAAGTGCAGGAATACTCCAGGGGGTTACGATTGCTCGCCCCTTTGCAGTACCGGCTGGTACTTCAGCACGACGACGAAGGGCTGTCAAGACGTGGACGAGTGCTTGTTGGGCAGGCACGACTGTCCTCAGAGTACGCATAGGTGCGCGTCTTTATGTTATGCAAACGCATCAGAAATCGCATATTCTTTTTTCTACAATAATTACATATATATAACGATTGATTTTTCTTTCCTCTAACGTTATTTCCTAATAATACTCGAATTTACAAATATCCGCGAATGTTGCATCCGCAGATGCGTCAACACCAACGGATCCTTCGTCTGCGAGTTGATACTGCCCTGCAGCCGCGGCTACAGGCGAGCCTTCAACGGCACCTGCCTGGACATCGACGAGTGCTCCGAGGGCCTGCATAACTGTCGGCTCGACTTACACCAGTACTGCGCAAATAAAGAAGGCGGCTTCGAGTGTTTGACCAGACTGCCCTCCTGCCCGTCCGGATACCAGTATTCTTTGGGCACTCGACGATGCGAGGACATCGATGAATGCCTAATCGGGCAGTACAGCTGTGATGCGAAGTTCTCCGAGAGATGCGTCAACCTGCCGGGTACATACAGGTGCGCGTAACTTTTTTTTTTAGAAAATCTATTGGAAGTTCTATATCTGTCGGATAAATATAATAAAACAGGAGTTTAAAAATATTCGATGATGTATATCTTGCAGGTGCGAGAGACCTCCTCCACCTCCTCCTCGTCAACGCCAACGACCAGCTTGTCCTTCTGGCTATCGGTATCGCCCTGATTTTCGCATGTGCACAGGTACATCTAATAATTTTTATAAAATTTATCCTTTAAAATTAATGAGTCGCTTTTATTAATCGTAGAAACTTTATATGTATATTTTTGGCTGTTCCTCTTTTCTTTTCTTTTTAGTTGTAGCGTGAACCTGTACGTATTTTGCACTATTGTATTAACCAATTTCAGATATTTTTCGTATTTTCAGAACTCGTCAAAACGATATTGAACTCAGGTTGACTGATTGGCGTATGTTCGATAAATTCCTCGCGTACGGGTGAAATATACTATTTCTGTCGGCTTTCGATGTGCACGATTAATCACAAATATTGTTTCCATCGATACGTAATTTTTATTGCACCGAATTATGTTTGTGTTTTATATGCAAGTTTATATGTCGTCCTACATTATTTCAGTTGCTTTCAACATTGCTTTTATCAGAGATATAAATCGGAAGCTTAAATGCCAGGGTATGTTTTGCAAGAAATTAACAATGCTTTTATTTAATCATTATACTATCCTAATATTTCAATTTAAAGAAAAACTTGCTTTAATACAAAGGAAAGGATATTCGTAAGTTTCATCATCTAAAATCTACTTTGTCTGAAATTATAGACATCGACGAGTGTGAGGAAAGGTTGGACAATTGCGGGGGGGACAAGCGTTGCTACAATCAACCGGGTGGTTACAGCTGCGCGCTACCGCCGGTCCCGATGACCAGGAAACCGTCCACGACGCCGATACCAGCGCCGATGAACGAGAAGTGTATACGCGGCACCAGGTTCGTGAGGAATCGCGGCTGCGTCGACGTCAACGAGTGCAGGGAGCTCGAGGATGCTTGCAGCAGCAACGAGGACTGCGTCAATACCATAGGCAGTTATATGTGCACTTGCAAGACCGGTTTCAGGCGCGATAATCTCACGCAGGCCTGCGTCGATATCAACGAATGTCAGTTGCAGGTAAACGACAAGAACGACGACGAGACTCTCCGAGACGCTCGCGTAAACGTATATATCAACGCGATCTGACATTTATGGCGTGAATCTAGAAAGAAAGATACAAATATTGTGACATCTTGCGCGTCGTGCCGAGGAAGATAAATTAAAAGCATGTAAAAGTCCGCGTTATCTCTTCCCCAATGCGGAACACTGCTCGCCGTCGATTTTTAACATTTTTATTTGAAGGAGAACGACTGCCTGGCGACGCAGCGATGCGACAACACGATCGGCAGTTACACGTGCACGCGCTTCCTGCCCTGCGGTACCGGATACACCCTCAACGCCGCGACGGAGATCTGCGAGGACGACGACGAGTGTGTCCTGGGTACCCACGACTGCGGGCCCGGGTACCAGTGCAGAAACACCCTGGGCTCGTACCGCTGCGATCGCATCCCGCGTATACCGGCTCCGTCGTCGCGCACGTCGCCGATGACGACGACGACGATGAGAATCGCGACGTTCACGACGACGACGACGCCCGCGACGTCGTTGACCCCGGCCGGTCAAACTTGGCCGAACTGTCCGCGCGGCTTCGAGTCCGGCTCCAGCGGCAAATGCGTGGACATCGACGAGTGCCAGAGAACGCCGAATCCCTGCTTCAGGTCCATGCAAAAGTGCATCAACACTCTGGGGTCTTACAGGTACGCGTAAAAATTGCCAATCGATAGAGGAAGCGACACGAGTACACGACAATTGGAAACGCGGGGAAAATTTTACAGATGCGCGTCCGTAGTGATCTGCTTGCCCGGTTACACGGTGGATGCCACCGGACAGCACTGCATCGACATCGACGAGTGTCGGGAGGGAACGCACGAGTGCGGCAAGGGCCAGACCTGCGAGAATCGGCAAGGCGGCTATCACTGCATCTGTCCGCCCGGTCATACGGTTGGGCCGAACAACGATTGCGTCGACATCGACGAGTGCAGCATTTACGGCAGTGGTATTTGCGGACTGAACAGCCGCTGCGAGAACACTGTTGGCTCCTACAAGTGCCTGTGCGGGGATGGCTTCGAGAACACTGGAGGAACGGCCGGTGCCTGCCAAGTAAGTCACGCCGTGCAATTCGGACCAATACAAAAATGTTTTTTCGTCTCGAAATTATATAATCACGATTGCTTTCAGGATATCGACGAGTGTCAACAAACGCCGGGGCTCTGTCAGCACATATGTCTGAACGTGTGGGGCAATTACAGATGCGGATGCGAATCCGGATTCAGGCTAAACGCCGACAACCGGACTTGCATCGACATTGACGAGTGCACGGAATTCAAGGACAATCATCTCTGCATCGGCATCTGCGAGAATACGCCGGGAAGCTACGCGTGCAAGTGTCCCGAGGGATACAGGCTCGGTATCGACGGTCGAACGTGCCAAGGTATAATGACGTTTGCAGTACGATTCTACAGAAAAGCGATTGTATTTAAGAAATAATGAAATATGGAGGGCATTGAGGATTAACATACTTTATGTCGGGGAAAAAGAGAGTCGTCGGTTACGGTCCAAAAATTGGCATGCGTTTTCGTGTACCAAAGCGATCGCGCGAATCGATCGCGCGGATGAAAAGTGAGAGTCACGTTTACATGAGTCACGGTGTCGTAGCTTCGTGAACGAGGCACGCGTTCCACCTAGTTTGTCCCGCGATTGAAACGACGGTGCAATTTGTACTTGACCCGTTTGCCGGCGAACTGGAGCATCAGCTCGGGTCACCGCGGCGCACGAACGCCGCGCGCTAGCTCCCGCGCAATCTCCTCGATCTCGCGCAATCACGACATCGCTGGCGGTCACGATATCGCCACGTGCTGCAACGTACTTAATTATCTCTCTACGTGTGTTCGCAGACATCGACGAGTGTGAGGCCGGCCAGGTTTGCAGGGATGCGGAAGAGATGTGCCAGAACACGCGCGGGGGTTTCCGTTGTAACCGGATAAACTGTCCCTCGGGATATCATCGGGACCACATAAGAAAAAAGTAATGATTGAATTTGATGGAGCTAATAGATTCAACTTTCTCTAATTTTAATTTTCTCGTCACGTTCGATGGCTTGTTTGATAGTCGAGTTAATTTCGAATATAGATGCTAGTTATTTGACCGACTTGATAATGAATCCGTAAATTTCCCGCTCGCGATTTCAGCCGCTGCGTACGCTCCTCGAGGTTCTGCCGCAAGGGCGACCTGGCGTGCCTTCGATCGCCCTCGCACTATTCCTACAACTACATCACCTTCGTGAGCATGCTGCCCATCCCGTCCACCGGCCAACTGGAGCTGTTCACCATGAGGGGTAGCCATCAGCCCGACTCGACGATACAGTTCAGCATGGCACTGATGGACGTGCGCGCACCACCGGATGTCGCGCGCGCCACGGAGTCCTGCTTTGCCCTGAGGAGACCGGCGTCGTCGCAGGCGGTCCTGGTGATGACGCGCCCAATCGCCGGACCGCAGGAGATTGAGCTGGATCTCAGCATGGAGATATACCACGACGCCGTGTTCATCGGTAGCGCCATCGCTAAGATCTTCATCTTCGTCTCGCAATACGAATTCTGAGAAAATCCTTTCGAGGTAAGACAGAGATGAGTAGAGACGGAAGCCAAGATCGTAAAATGAAGTAATTTAGAGCTACGTTTAATTGCGTGATTGCCTCCTCTTTCATAACGTTACCGTAATCGTAAGAGCAATAAGAATTATATTCCCAAATCATATTATCTTGTCCAGTGCGATAATTTCTTGAAAAATATGAATCTTTTCTGTTCTTATACAGCTTGTTGAATAAAACTTCTGTTTCGTTAAATTGATTAAATAATAGAAAACATTTTTCTCTAAGAAATGAAATGCAATTGACATTTTAAGCAGCATACATTCAAGATTAATGATACGGATCTTTTTCATATTTTTTTGTTCATTTTTTAAATTAGATATTAAAATAAACATATTAATAAATATATAATTAACACATGCTAGTATTTCGATCGTAGATATGTAAAAAAAAATCAAATTAAATGTATATAGATTCTTGTAAGTTAATATATCATGTAGAGGATAAAACATGGAATAAACTTACGTTAGATGACGTATGAAATTGATAATAATTTCCAAGCGCTTGATACTTTATCAAAATCGCAGCTTTATTAAATGTTTCGCTAGCGACACTCTCCTCCCTCCAACACGATTCCGCTGTTCGTAATCGAAACAACGCCTATTGCTTCGAATCTAACGCTTCACTTCTCCTTCACAGAAGACGAATAAAGCAACAAATCTGAGATCCTTAGTGTTAATTGCCGCTTCGTTGCATGGTACGCGCGTGTAATGCAATATATACATATGTATATATATGTATATTTAATATTATATATATATGTATATATACACACATATATATATATATAAAACATAATATTATATATATGTAAAAGATCGTAAAAAATAAAATATAATAATATCACTGCGCGTTTTATATATGACGACAATTGTTGTCGCATTGGATGCGAATAACGAACGCTCACCCGTAGTGCAGCGAATTGCCATTATTACTAATAAAGTGATTTAATTGTACTAAAGATAATTGCGCTGTCGCGAGGACATCGCCGATATCGTCAAAGGCGGACGATGGCGATCAGCGTAAATTAGAATACAATCGTGATAAAATAATATTAATAATTATATGTATAATTGTAATAACAATAATAATCTAAATAGCTAGCGACAACTACGATAGCGATATTAATGTACACACGATAACAGGAAATAGAACAATTCGGGCGGGACGCGTTTGCGGCACGCCGGGAAAAATGCATACTATAGAAATATAATCGCGTCGCTCGGAAATTTCTTCAGCACGACGCGACGACGATATACATATACACGTATTAGAACATTACGAGAGGACGCGATTATGTCATCGGGAAATCTCGTTGACGACATGTCGGCTCGAAGCGTTCGCGCATCGCCAATACAACATGTAATATCTAGGACGCGGCTGATCTCTCTCGTGAGGTTTCACGGTTAGCCGTCTTATTCGCCTAATTGGTCCTAGATGCGTGATACTAATTCCCCTGGCAAGACGAGTATAAGAGAAAACGAGATTAACCGTCAACGCCCGCAAAAACAATTGCACGATTGTGCGAGGAGGGATCCGGATCGGGTTCGTCCGGCCGAGGAAGCTCGTCCTGGTGAAACTTCCACGGTTTATATATCCTCCGCGATCCTAGCTATAGCACACAACGAACTTTCAACAAGCGTACGCGCATAAAACGCAACTAATAAATAGTACAACTATAAACGTAACAGCCTGGATACAGCGGCAACGCGTAACAACGATGGCAGTGACACTCGTCGCTCGTCCTTCGTTAGATTCTAGAAAAATGGAAAAGGAGTGTTGACTAGGATTTGCTAAAAATTTACCGGAGGGCTTCTTCTAACTCTCTGCGTGCAGCCCTCTTGCGCCGAGTAACGCACGGCGGGATGTTGCTAGCCGGTTTTTAAGTACTCGATGGCAAATCATGCGAAAAGAGATATCCGTGTGGCAAATATCTTTCAACGTAATCTACAAAACGCACGTGTCGCTATAAAAGAATAAACGTACGGAATTGAGAGTCGATTAAAACTCGAGCAAAAAGATCTGTTTCTCTTCCGAATAACGCGAAACTATTTATCTTTGCGTCTAATATTTAGACGCGCCTCGACAAATTTTCCCTTTTACTTTTGTAAACACTCGCTTCACCTCACGTCAGATTCATCCCTTCCAGCATCATTCCACGATCTCAGTATCGTAAGAGAGAACAATTTTTTGAACAAGTTTAACAAGTCCGAACAAGTTCAAAAGATATCTCAAGAGAGCAGAAATAAATATGCGCGAGAACGTTCATGGATTTTCTCTCGTGTTGAGCTAAATATTCTTCTTAATTCTCTATTCAACATAAAAAAAAAATCTGTTTCCACACATAATTCAGGCAATGCGGTGTCTTAACAACGAATCGCGAAGTGGAGCTCAGATTTCGATAACAGCGTGCTTTTAGCGGAGAAAGAGGTTTTTTTTTTTACATGGAAAAATTTCCCGTTGTTCCGAACGATACTATACTTTTGCACGCGGCGTGATCGCGAATATGTAATAAAACTATATACTCGATTTACCCGATGAAACTAATATCTACCGGATATCAATTTACTTACTCGATATATAGGCACTGAACTAGGGAGATCTGCGCCGTGAAAAATAAATATACTAACAGCTACCTGTTTAACAGAGGTAGTAGCAATGCAGTTGACACTCTCCTAGTTTGTGACCGTCTTGCGTTTCGTTATGATGAAAAGTGTCACCGGATACATATTTCATAACTGGTTACATTTATATCACATTAATCTCGATAATTTTCGTCGAATATATAATTCTCGCACGAGAATGAGGGATCTGCGTGTAAAAATGCTGTGCGTAAAAATAGTGCGTAGCTAGCTCTTTTTTGGGGGGGGGGGAGGATTTCAAGTGTATTTTGTTCGCGCGCAATATGCCTTTCGCGACGCATATTCAAGAGGAACGGATATACGGTACTATACCTACTTGGACTCGTGAAACCATCATTGCGACGATGGCAGTCTGTGACCGATTAACTTACTAATCTAACTAGTCTTCAATCACGTGGGAAAAATTAACATCTCTTCAGAGAGGATCTCCTGCCGAAATGTGCCACGTGCTTACGGGCGGCTTTCTTTCTGGCTTCGCGGAAACAGCATGCAGATGCATAAGTCAACGAAAGCACTCGCATCGCGCGGTCTTACCCGAGACACACCTTTCCGCGGACTTATACGCGTGACATTCTTATTTACGACCTCCCTCTCCCCTTCCTCCTCCCTGAGAAATGCTGCGCGTAACGGGATCATAACGTACTTGCTCTGCTGCTATTGCCTTTAAACTCTTATCCCGAGCGAGAAAGAGAGAGAGAGAGAGAGACACAAACGGATGTTTTTGTTTCCGTCATGGTAATTAGAATTCAAAAAAATATTCGAACGTAGTAATTAATAATTATCGACTTTTTGTATAGCTGAAGAATTTTATCGCGGGCATTTAGCTGCCAGCTTTATGGAAAAGAAGAAGTTGCTTGGGTAAGATCTAAAACAGGTATCTGAGAGATCTTGCTGCCCGTAGGGTCGCCCGAGCGGTCCTCGGGGGAGCGGCGGCGCGCGTCCCCCGAGAATCCGCCGGCGTGCATCAGGCGATCGTGTTGTTGTCCAGCTCGGCGAACTCGCGCGTCACCTTGCAGACGTAGTAGAGGCGCTCGTAGAGATCCGGGGTGCAGCCGAGGTCACGCAGATCGTTCAGCCAATAGGAGGACGCGTGTCGGCCGGTGTCGATGTAAGTGATCAGGTAGCCCCGTCCGCCCGCGGGTTCCTGCGACACCACCATCTTCGTGTGGTCCACGAAGAAGTTCACTTGCAGGAGCGGTACCGTTAGCTCCATCACGATGGCCTTGTCCGTACGCAGCCACCGTCTCATTCGCGGCACGTAAGCGTTTTTCGACTGCCTCGGCGGCGCGCGATATTTTTTCAGCTCGCCACCTAGACGGCACACATTAACGCGGGATTACATTTACGTTTTACTCGTTAACTTTCGGTCACGTCGATATAATAGGGTGGTACAAAGAGTTAGGCCATTCTCATTGTGTGTTTTGCACTTGGAAGACAAAAATACTATAGAGCCTTGCAAAGACGAGTCAACGTTTCTTTCGTTTAAAGAAATGAAAGTTCTACATGTGTAATAAATTATGATATACGTATAAAAATGAAATATGTGATCAGAGAGGGAGACTCACCTTCTGTCAAGAAGTCGTCCATATATTCGGTAAAATGACGGAGTAACTCGAGCTTCTTTTGCAGCGGTGCCGGCACGTCCCTCTCTCGATGATATCGCGTCATCTCATCGTCGGTCGTCATATATTCCACTCTTCTGTATTAACATAACAAATTTCACCGAATTAATTAAGAAACTACAATCTTATAGTGAAGAAAGTTACAACAGTCGATGCACAATGTCACATTATTTTTCGTTGATTTCTCTCGATACACACCTTCTATCGTGAGTGTAGCTAATCTTCGTGTTGTCGTTGAAAAGAACGCCAACCGATCTATCGGAGAGTTGAAAGCCCAGCCCGTACTTGTTCGAGTAATCGATCCACTTGGTGACGAAGAGCGGTACGATGTCCTCTACGGTTGGTGGATTGCACGCGTTATTCCGCTTCATTTCCGGCACGCACGCCTCTAACGCGCGATGCATCTGCACGCTCTGCGCCACGAGGCCGGTCTTCTTGTGATCCGGGCAGAGCACGCTGCTGAGCCGTTGCCGGAATCGCGGCAGTTTCGGTAACTTCCTGACGAGCCAGCTGGAGACCTTGGACTCCTTCTGCAGGCTCTTCTGCGAGCGATTTAGCAGAAGCTGCTGGTGCTGCGACTGCTGCTGCGCCTGCTGAGCCGGAATCGACTGTTGCTGGTAGCGCAGCGACGCGTCGGGATAAACGAGGCTCTGCTGCCATATCTGAAATTTCATTTTCGTAAAAGATTCGCCGGCTAGATCTGTCAAAAATCTTGCGGACGAATCATCGGGGCATCGCTCACCTGCGCCTTAATTTCCGGATTCCTGGCGACCGTGGACATCGAGGACGGCGATGAGGGTGGCTCGATGATCGACGCCGGTGGCATTTGGTAGCAGCAAGTGTGGGGTAATGACGCGGGCACGTATTCCTTGGTTAGATAAACGTGCTCCTTCACCCTCTCCAGACTCGGCCGCAGCTCGGGATTAGACTGTAATAGCCACCTAATCAAGTCCTGGCCGCTTTTGCTCGCGATACTGTCGTCGACCTCGCGATAATGGTTGTTGCAGATCCTGGCGTAAGTCTCCTTGAGCGTCGCCGTGTCGAAGGGCGGTTGCCCTACCAGCAGGGCGTACAGTATGCAGCCCAGCGCCCAAACATCCGCCTCGTAGCTGTACGCTTGCTTATACAGCACTTCCGGAGCGATGTAGTTCGGCGTACCGCATATCGTTCTGCGGATACAAATGCGACTAAATGCGCTACGACGTTTTGCTGATGCCGCTAAGTTGCTTGTGTTTAGACGAGCGCGTCCATCGGGCATAACAATCGTCTCAAGGCACCGGAAAAGGGATCTCCGGTGTTTGTATGTTTTCGTCGAGACGGATAGTTAAGACACCAAGATAATGATAACAAAAAGATAACGATAACAAAAAGGGATTGTGAGACGTCCAATTGTTGTCGTTTAAATCATTCTCATGTTTCTTAATTTTTATAAACTGCTAATTTAGATTACAAATTATATGAACAACACAACAAATAAAATGTACAAATTAAATAAATAAAATTCTAAATCCCGGAGGAGAAACATGTTTAAAGTGTCGCAAATTATATTGAGCCTTACACTCGTCTGCGCTGACCGTCGGGCCTGGTCGCCAACCCGAAGTCACCGATCTTGACGATCATCCGGTCCGATAGGAACATGTTGCCCGGCTTCAGGTCCCGGTGAACGACTTTCTGCGAGTGGATGTACGCGACGCCGGTCACCATTTGCTTCATGTAGTAACGCGCTTCCGGTTCCGTGACTTTGCCACGGTACTTCAGCACGTGCATCAGGCTCTGGCGGAGAGGAAGAAGAAGGAAAGATGATATTTTTAAATCTGGAGGCTTACTGCTCGTACTTCGCGCATTTAATGACGTGCAGAAAGTCATCTGACGGAAGAATGGCGCGATAAAACGTATAGCGAGGACTATTATATGATTTTTTTTATTTGCTTTGCGCTCTTTATACTTTTTGTTTACGTTTTCTTTGTGTATCTTATGATCTTTGCAGATGATACAATAAACTGTTATAAACGTAATATTATAAAACCTGCAGCGTAATTCACAAAAGTAACTATATATTACAGGAGATTGTGTAATGGCGGTCACTTATAGCTCCTTTAAAAAGAGACCAAACAATCGAGAAGAAAGCGTTTCCTGGCAGGAAGATAGTCATCTCGAATGCGTGGAATGCACGTGTATTTCTCGAGCTGTTTCTTACATTATTCCGTAGGATGCACGTCGCCTCATTTTGGAGGAATCATCTTATTTGCGAGCCGGTATAGAAATATTTCGGGAAATCTGCGCGTCTCCATTTTTTTCACCACTCGCGATAAACTTGCTAACTTGTGGCCGACGTTACCTCTTTAAAGCGCAAGCTTTCGGCGAAATGAGATGACTTTATGAGGCTGTTTTGCAAACGCGACATGGTGCATGGAAAATGTCAAAAAATTTGTTTCGTTAAACGTTAACGAGAGATATAAAATATATTTTTTTTACAAAATTCTTGAAACTGCAAATTGCCAGCTTTCAGCGCGTCTCTTTTCATGAAACATTATTACCGCTATAGACGTTTTTAAGGAATTTCAGAGATTTTTTTAATCATTTAAGTCGTCAATCCCTGCGTGATCGAGCAGTGGAGACGGAGACGAGACTCGCGCTCGCGAAGGCGATTGAGCGGGAGAGCGAGGATAATCAAACGATTAGTGGATGCTTCGTCGCATCCTAACGGTACAAACAGGTCGGCAGATCAGCCATGAAGAGTGCAAGTGCCGCTCTCTTTCCGGCGGGATGAAAATACGCGGCTGTTGCCGATCGCGGACCGCTCGCAGACAGGCACGATGGATCCATAATTGTTTCTCGGGTACGGCGTGCAGAATGACTTCGACACGTCGATTTAAGTCGCGCAGGTGTTGCGCGGCGGCAATAGAGATAGGCTGGAACTTGGAAAACGACTTTACGAGGAGAACGGAAGGAGAGGGGAGAATGACAGACAAAGATGTTAAAGACGGCCGCGAGAGTACCTACAGAACGTAGGATGAAATAAGGGAATAACGCTCTTTATTGCTCCGCTCCAGTTGTCAATATCTGTCAGCGGTTCGAATAATTTACGAGATGACGACCGCGAGCGTCGACTCGATCGAGAGTCGCGTTTTCACCGGTATGGACGACGATCGTAAATGTGTATACAGGAAAGGTATAGAGGAGTTGCGAAATTTTTATCCCGCGAACGTGCGCTGCAGAAACGCGTGGTGAAGAATAATCAATTGGCAAGTGAGGTGACACGCGTTACCTTTCGTGGGCAGGCCTCTAGGAGCATGTACACGTTGAGATTGTCCTCGAAATAATGATGCATCTGGACGACGTTCACGTGATTCAGCTCTTTATGGATCATGATCTCACGCGCGATCTACGAGAAGAGTGGCGTAAAACGCGCGTTATTCAGCGAAACAATAATAGAATGCGTGCGCTTTTCACTATACATCGCGGTCGTACGCGTAAATACCTTCTGCATGTGGATCCTCTGCATCCGATTCTTCGGGATAATCTTGCACGCGTACTGATTTCCGTTGCTGACGTCGGTCATTAGGTAGACCCTCGCGAAACCACCCTGAAAAGTGAAAGAGATAAATCATTTATAACGTCCATGGGCCAGGTATATATGTATATATATGTATGTATATATATATATATATATACTCTCGCGACAAACGCTTGATATTCTCGGAAAGGATCGGATTGCGCAAGCAGACGCACAATGCGATCTTTATCGATGTATCGTCTCCGCCGACACAAAGTGATCCATCTCTCTCGCGGGGAAGAATAATGAGAGCCGCGTTCTTCTTCCGAGTCCTAGAATTCTCAAAATAGATTCTAAGAATTTCTCCTCGATCATCCGTCGATGGTCTCAGTGAAAGGTTCCCTGGTGGCGACCGCTTTCGGTCTTAAAGTAATCTTCTGAAATTATCGTTTATTGCCTCCGTGCAGTCGTAGGAAGAAAGTGAGGAGGATTTCTTTTTACGAGAGACGCACCATTCTTCGCGGCTTTTGACAATCACCGGGGAGCCTTCGAAATAGCACGAATGTCACACGAATCGCAAAATGTGTGAACGTGTCGCGATCGAAGGAAAGAACGTAAGTATATATATCGTCTGCTAAAGATAATATTTTCAATCTTACAATGCTTTAGATACGAAATACACCATTGCAAATCGGTATTGGGTGCGTTCACCCTATATCCCCTCTCCTCTTCATGGGGAATTTCCGACAAACAATGCGCCCACGAGAAAATCGTAAATCCGAAACGACCGTTTTCCGAAATAGCTCGTCACTGGGGCGCGAGAACAAACGACATCGAAATATCGTCTGGCGATCGCGAACGCGCGCACGATCTCGCGATCGCGCGATGGGAAAAGGGTGCTCGGTGGGCCGGTTGCCAGAACAACTCGCGCGAAAATATCCCAAACGAGTTACGAGAGCGCGGCGTAACTCGCGTCGCGACGACGGCGTCGTCACGCAATTGAAATTACACATCTCGCATTCCCGTATTTAGCGCCAAATGCACCGCCGCCCGCCGCGGCCGGTCCGATACACAGCGATCACGTCATGCGACGAACGTTGCACGCGATCGTTGCGTATTCGAGAAAGACCCGGGATGTAAAAATGGGGCAGATCGCGGGCTAAACGCGCGGCCTCGATGTCGTCGGGCCGAGAAAGTCCGTCGGACGATTCGAGCGCGATTTCGTGCCGGTCGACGCGACGTGACCCACAGGCAAGGCATCCCTCGTTCCCTCGTTCTCGCCGTATTTCGGGCGCGTAATCCGCCGCGTGTTGCATGTACCCGGTGAGCAACGGGCATACGGCACGCTGAGGGTCCGGACCCTCCGTGCGCGTACGGTTATAGCGAAGCGGTCCGTTTATCTTTAAATATCGCCGACGACGACTAAAAATACATCGCCGCACGCGTGCACGCGCTTTGTGCACGCGCGGTCAAATGGACTGTTGACAAAAACTCCTCGCGAGCCTTGTCCCCGTTTTGCGTTTCGCTCCTCGGGATCTCCCCCTCCCGCACCACGCGTATGGTTACGCATCTCGTCGGAATTAGCGCAGCTCATCGGCGAGCGCGCGCCGCGGGATGACGAAGCATTCCCGACCATTTGTTATTCTTTTCTCTCTGTGGAGTGATCGAATCCTTCGTCTGTGACCCTTTTTACAATACCGGACAGCCGTTCCGTTCCGACGAGGAGAAACACGCGATTTGTACGATCTCTCCCTCTTCAGCCCTCCTTGAACAGCCTTCAAGCGCTCGCGAAATGAAATAATTAATTGACGTTGTGATTCGATGGAGGAGGAGTCGATTAATATGCGAACGTCATTTTCCCGATACGCCGTCAAGGAGGGAATCCGACGTTCGCCTCGCGTGTACGGCACCTCGCTTCACGCGAAGGACAGCGATCCGTTAACTTTGCTTGATTTCCCCGGCGGTCAGCTTGTCAAGAGCCCGCGGGCGCGTCACGTCGCATCTCGCGCGTTCGTTCGTTTAGCGTGTCTCGCTGGTCGTCTCGGAGACGCCGAAACGAGCCCTCGGGCTCTCCTCGTCGGACGATCCTCGAGCGAGTCTCTCCCCGCGCGTCGCGTTGCGAGATCCGTGAGCGCGACGGAGAGAAAACGATCGCGCGAGCCGCCGCGTCGACCGGTTTTCGCGCGCGCGGCATGCAGTGCGTCATCGATTCGATTCCAGAGAAATAATCCCATTCACGCGCCATTCACTCCTCGCAATCGTCGTGGCATAATGGCATGCGCTCTCGCTCGCGCGATTTCGAACGTGCGCGCGGAACCCTCACCGCGCCGCCTGCGTCCGTCGCGCGGAATTTCCCGTCCGCGTGCGAAGCGAGACGATATACCTATATATATATATATATATATGTGTATATACGCTCGCGACTATACTCGCGAATCGGCTTTGTTCGCGCGGACAGTCGATTTCTCGTCTGAGTGGCAGAAACGGAGGGAAAAAAAACGTGACTTTCCTCGCGTCAATTGGGACGCGAGCGCGAGCGCGAGCAAAGGAGAGAATGAGTTGGTTTATCTAGGACGAACCTAACGAGCGCTCCCGCGCCGGCCGTTAGTCACGCGTGTCCGCTCGTAAAACGGCGCGTCTAAATTTGAGAAAGCACACGCTCCCTTTCTTTTCCCTAAAATGTTTTTAACGAGGCCCTGACCTTTCGTTAATCTTTCCGGCTTATCAGCCTTGACGGGCCGTCTCCTGCCTTCGACGATCGATTCGTTTCGTTTCCTCCACGCCACGGGAATACGCGTGGCGTCACATCCGGCAACGGTACAACGGTTACCGTCCGCGAAGCGATCACCCGAGAACGCGGCGTGTGTGCACGCCGAACTGTAGCTGTTCTATTTGGGTGGTCCAAGATGTTTTCCCCGACGAAGCAGCGGATTAACAGACCAGAAAGGAAGGGAGGAGGGAGAGGGAGGGGTTGGTTTTTTGCCTAGTTATTAAGCAATCGCACGTGAACCGCCTCGACGAGTTCTCAAGCACGCCCACATTGCTCGTGCAGCACTAATTCGACGTGGCAATTCGCGACGATAACAGCTCCCTTAACCCCAGTTTAGAGCCAAGTAGTACCGCGGCATTTTCGGAGTTACGTCAGAAGCATTTTAATCCTAGAAAATGTAATAGGAGTCAATTCGAGAATCACGCTGATGATATACACGTTTCATCCGCTACTTCGCGTAACGAAGGCGGGTTTCTAAAACGAGCTTAAATCTTTCGTATCTGATGCATATTACAAGTAAAAGACTATTCATCTGTATAAACTATATTTAAACTCAATTTTAGTCTTTTGCGGTACGTGTTTTACAATTAGATGCGTCCTCCTTTTCAATTTTTTTTAATTTTTAATTACTCGTATAAATACTGCTGTCTAATAAAATGTATATATATTCGTCAATTAATGTAAAGTCAAACTTTACGTAAAAATTAAATAGAAAAAGAATCAGATCTGAATGAAGGCGAGTTTCTAAAACGAGCTTAAATCTTACATATCTGATGCACATTATAAATAGAGGACTATTCATCTATAACTACATTTAAACTCAATTTTAGCTGTATACGATTTTAGATGCGTCCTCCTTTTCAATTTTCTTTAATTCTTAATTTTAAATACTGCTGTCTAGTAAAATGTATATTCGTCAATTAATGTCAAACTTTATTAAATAAAAAAAATTAAATAGAAAAAGAATCAGATCTGAAGTCGCTATTAAATGACAAGTAATGCATCGAGAACACTAAAGCGTATCGATCAAACGAAATGCAGCCACGAGACAATCGCTCGTAGTAATGCTAGCAAATTAAATTGTTCCTAATAGGCAGCGAACAGAATAAGCAAAAGTAGCAAAGTAATCTAATTTGTACTGGAGCGCTGGATGCTTAAATAAAAAATATATATCTTGGTACAACACAAGTGGGTTACTCGGATTATCGATTAAATAGCAAGCTTGTGCAGGAATGCGCGGGAGGGAGGAGAAGTGTATAAAAACCAAACAACCTTTCAAAACCTTTCGGCATTTAACACGGGTCTTTGGAGATGCACGTGTATAAAAAAGACAGCGAAAACTGAAAGGAGGAAAACCGTTCTGCATCACCTGCGAGATCCTACTGCGACACCGCGCTTTGTGACGAGTGCGCATTGTCCAACGGTACGGATAGAAAAATCTACCTGCATCCGACGAGATTTCCGAGGGCACACGTGGATGATGGGGTCTGTGTATTCTATAAATTCTCTCGCTAAATCGAGAACCCTGCAGAGGAAGGCTCTCTCCCTCTCGCCGGGGTAACTCCGTATTGACCGTCGTAAATTTCAAAAGCCAAAGGTCGAGAAAATAAAGCGCGAGGAAGGAGTCTAGTCTTAGAATCTTCCCAGCTGATTCCCCTCGGATTTCGTCACCTTTTCCATTCGCCACGCGAAATTCAAACGGATTCGTATAAACGGCCGCTCACATGTATTTATACGTGTGTAGGTCGCGCTAAGTTTAAACTCTGTAAAGTCTCTGTAAGAAGAAAAAGTGTAACGCGCGTCGATAACGTATCCCGTTATCGTTGTATACGTTGATGCGCTATGCGCGTTTCTCGCGCGACTTAATGTTCGCCAGTTGTATGAAGAATTCGGCGGGAGAGCGTCGTAAGTGTGATCGCGTGACAAACCGATAAACCCGCCCGAGAGTGAAATTGATTTAGTTTCTCGCTGGCGCCACAAAAAGATCATCAGACACACGTACGGCGGCCAGCGCCAGCCGCCGTTTCGACAGTCTTGCACGTCTTCCTGGAAACACTCTGTTTATATCTTTCCACCAGTGGTAACCCGCGCAGTATGATATCACGACCTGTTTAATTGCCGGTCGGACATTGGCGTCAATCGCTGCGCGTTTCGCAACGCCGAGATCGGGCGTTTTTCTCAATCGGGGATGATTATTCGCAAATGACGCGTCCCGTTTAAAAGGCCAGCGCTTTATCGGCCACGTCGCTTTTTTTTCCTCCGCCGTGCGTCACGTAAAGTATAACGCTCGAAAACTGCATGGAGGGAAACGGCGATTTCG